TATATATATATATATATATATCACATATATATGTATAGCACATCATGACCATATAAGGCACATCATGACCATATATAGGCAAATCATGACAGTTTTATGTCAAAATTTGATAATCTGGACAGAGCTTGAGAGATTAAAGAGTTATAACTCTCTCCCTTGAGCCCCACAAAACCCTCAACCTGCCACCTAGGATCATAGATCCTTCTTCTCTTTACCTGTTTTGGCCTTAGTTGCGTTGTATTATCACCATGACCTAGGCGTCCATATTCCCCTAAGCCCCATGTGTACAGATCACCGTTACTGGTGACTGCAGCACTGTGGGAGCTCCCGCATGCAATGTCTCGGATGCGCTTGGTCTTTAAGGCATCTATCAATTTAGGTTTGTCCACATTCCTGTAAAAAACAACACAAATCAGTAGTGATGTTTGTAGTCCATGGGTGAGACACTCATTTAAATAAACCAACTAATTACCACTATTTTTTTTAAGAACACTCATACAACAAAAATAGAATCGTCTGACCAAAGCCTACTGGTTGGACTGGATTGCCAAATATTTGACTGAATCACTATCAACTATAAAGTGGCTCCTGGTTGGCAGTGAGAAATCAAAAACATCAGCCATAGACCAACTGGTGATTTCAGCAGCGACAGCAGTAGCTAAATTGCAACTTGAAAGGTTTGAATTTGAGCTGCGGCGGTATTGAAAAGATAGACTTAAAAGAGGACGTTGCATAATGTTTGTATAATATATTTAGTCTATTAGTTATTTTTTAAAATTTAAATATGATCAAATAAGGTTGTATTGACAAGATAGACTTAAAAGAGGGCGTTGCATAATGTTTGTATAATATATTTAGTCTATTAGTTATTTTTTAAAATTTAAATATGATCAAATAAGGTTATATAATAGACAAGGTTTCAATGATGTAACAGAGTACTAACATGCGACTGAAATGTCCGAGTTTGCCATCATCTCCCTCACCCCATGAGAACACTTTACCATCAGTAGTCAAAACCATTGCATGTCGTCCACCTTCAAGACCAAAATAAAAAAAACAAAACACAAAAGCAATTATTTACAGATAATTATTAAGGACCAAATGAAAAGAATATTTCTTATTGTCCTAATTGGGATGAATAAAGAAATAGAATGCTTGATATTATGTGTACTTTGTAAAATTCACTTTCACAAGTGAGTGACTTGCTACCCTGGGGAGCTCACTTGCATACCAACCAAACAGGGGGGAGGGGGGTGCAGCAGCCACTTGAGACACTTGTGCTACATATTTCACTGAAAAATATTATGGACTTGATCTAAAACTTACTATCATTAACTACCATTGTTTTATTTATTTATTAATTTATTGGTGAAACTTTTAGTAATTTATTCCACTCCCTGCTGTAAAGAGCATAGAGGTATATTACATAAGTTGACAACTATTATTATTTACAGTACAAAAAATCGCACTATGCTCTAAAAAAAATGACAGGAAAATGCCCACTCAAAAATTCCAGTAAGGGTTCAGTATTTGTATTGCTTCCCGATGATGAGCATTTTCCCATCTGTGGCTACGCACCAAAGGTAGGCTTAGAAGAAGGCTTAGCACTCAGTCTAGCTAAAATTCCGGCTAAAATTGTGTGGAAAACTGCAATACTTTGACAAGTCACAGGCATGGGATCTTGACTACCAATTTCACCTGGGTTATTTCCCACACTTGTGCTACCAAGTCCTTGAAAATATACCCCGTAAATAATGCGGCACCTCCCCGTATAGAAATATTTAACAGTGAGCCCCCAGGATTTGCTACTTACAAGATTAAAGTCCCATTATAGAGGTAAGGTGTTGGTAGAAAGACATCTTGGTGTACATAGAATGTCAACCAAAACATCTTATTAATTTAATATTATTAAGCTCTGTCCTGAGTTTTCTTTGACAATAGCCTGTTGTATGCCCATATATAGTCATGCTGTGCCTATATATAGTCATGCTGTGCCTATATATGGTCATGCTGTGCCTAGACATGTGACATACTTAAATATGGTCATGATGACATCACATCATGACCATATATAGGCACATCATGACCATATATAGGCACAGCATGACTATATATGGGCATACAACAGGCTATTGTCAAAGAAAACTCAGGACAGAGCTTAATAATATTGATAGGGAAAAAAGAGAGAAAACATTGGAGAAAATGGAAACCACTAAGAGTAAAAATTAACAATTTTTACTAACCAGAGTGCACAGCGACCTTCTTAACTTGATATTGGCTTAGGGAGGTCAGTTGTTTAGGTATAGACACATTACTGGAGCTTCCAAGTCCAAGACGACCATTTGTTCCTTCACCACAAGCAAACACCTTGCCCTCTGCCGTTACTAAAAAATGATAAACAAACAAATAATTTACAGTTTTGCGTTGTACTGCCGTACCTGCTACTACTTGGGGATCAGATTCAACAGTGGCCACTACTTGCTGGGCTAACGGTTTACGATAACACGCCAGGCCAAAACGTCACCCTTATAATTACTTTTGTAATTGAAAACCATCCCTGGAGTTTTGACTTGAGTACTCACCTACAAACAGACTCTTGGAACCACCGGCGATCTGGACAACTCTTAACCCAGAGAGGGCTTCATTCAACACAGGTGTCTTAATCTGCAGGTAAATCAATATCAATAAACCTTGTTACACATGCTTTCAGGTTAGGATTACATTTTTACTATTCATAATTATCATTTAAGAGGATTCATTATTTTTGTCAGTCTTAAAAGACCATGTAAATAATCTGGGCAAATCCTTCCAAAACCACTGATATTCTCCACAAATCTGCTAAAAGCAGGTCCTAGAGCTTCCATCAGGGTCATGGAAATAAATCCCTTGTGAGAGTCGTAGGGAAATATTTTACGGTTACGAATGGCCTAAAATTGTGGTTTTAAACAAGAGTATTAGAGGATTATACAGTCACAACAACATACTGGATCAGCAAAGTAATATTTAAAGAGGCGTTTTCACAGTGGCCCTTGTTTGGTGCTGATACTGGATTCCAAGCATTCACATAACATCGCCATAGTTTTTTAAGTATGGGCTTCGACTGGTTCATTTCGTTGAGTACAAATTTTCGTTGAGTATTATTTTTATTCAACTGGTTCGTAAAATAGACTTTGTAAACAACGAAAATTAACGTAAACCAAAATGCGTTAATCAGCGTTTATGTTATGCACATGACCACAAAGAAAATATGGTCGATTGGTCAGTTTAGCAACAACATTTGCATAAATATAATTTAGATTAAATTTCAGAAAATAAAAATTATAATATATACCCACATTGATGTCAAAAAATGATTGTAGGCTAATAGAATTCAAAAACAGGATGAAAACATTGTTTTTACTGAAAACCCATACTGCCACAATAACTATGCAGCCACTTTGTTTTGTCGAGTATTTACCAGTTTTCTATTCGACTGGTCGTCTTCGTTAAGTAGGATTTTACCAATGCGCAGATGGGCATGGTTTAACGAAGAACGACAAGTCGAATACAGCCAATGAATAGAAAATATTGTCACCATACAACCTTTCCCTTTCTGTGTATTATCATTTATTATATACTCTGTTTATCCCTAACGTCAGGTTTTCTTAACCCTTTTTAGTCGTATGTAATCGCGATAGTCGTATTGACCATACTTTATAGCAAGGGGCGTCGTACGTACGCCCTGTATAGATATCATGATAATTTTTTTATAGCTAGGCTGCTCTCTATATGATTTTTTGAGAGTGACGTAAGAGTATTTCTGTAGAGGGTCTCCTGCATTCAGACTAAATGAAAATGCCTGCGCCCAGTAAAAACACGACATTTAGTGTAGATGATGTAATTTCCCAGCTTTGGTACAGCCTCAGGCAATGGTAATGGGGCAGACTGGAAAGGGTTAAAATCACTACAATGGTTGCTACAGTGTTACAGTTCAATCGTTGTACTGTCTACCAGTTCCTGTTGCAATTGGGAAAGCTCCCCGATTCGATCAACCAATCAGCATCACTGAAAGCTGTCATCAGTGATACCGTGTAGCGATTTTGTATGACAACCAAGCTTTATATGACTACCTTTGATCCTTTTGGACCTCCCAGTTGGTCCTTGTCATTCAACCCCCACACAAACACTTTGGTATGGATCTCAGGGCCGGCAGTGTTGCTACGAAGTCTCAAGGAATTCTGGGTACCACCTTTGCCCTCTTCATCAACATCTTCCTCATTGTCGGAGGCTATGAAGGAGAAATTGGCAGCAATGTCATCATCCTCCGTCCTCATTCTACCGGTGATGGTCAGCCCATGAACTTTGCAGTCAATACCACTGCTCTTACATTGTCGAATGGCAATCTCAATATAGCGGTAATACTGAAAAAATATTACAACACTTTTTAAAATGTAATTCAAAATTTATTTCCACAATTGTTTGACATTAATATATACACAAATACATCAAATCAATAAAAAAGTAATAATATATAGAATATGGCAGACAAAAGATGTTTAGGAGTTAGAATTTTTTAAAAGGCTCCTGGTCATTGGATCATTAAATTGGCAAACTGGCACACGGTGGAAACCACTCTGCTACTTGGAGATTCAATGATACCAGAAGGGTGCAAAGACCAATACCTTCAATGACACAACATCCCACCCATTTCCTGGTTGGAGAAAGACAACCATAGGTAAAGCCCAAGAACACAGCGAAATACCTGGCAAGAAATTTGAAGTCCCAACATCAGGGTTTTGAGCCCAAACTGCAAAAAATTGTGCCAACCACTACCTTGTAAGCTTACCTCATTAACATCTGAAAGGAGTGTAACTGCAGACTCCACTGGGCCAACTTTGACAGTCTTAATCTCTTGCAGGCTTGTGATACTCTCACCTCCACTTAAGATGATGAGGGATGGTTGGTAGCTGCTGTCAGCAGGATCCACCTGCATCCGAAGGCGATGCACTAGGATGTCTGGCTGCATCTCCAGGTGTATCCAGTGCTGCAAGAGGAATCAATGTTATTCTATGAAAAACCTTTCAGAGACCCTTCTTGCATAAAATCAATACTGCAAGTAAGTAGTACCAATTTTATTCTATGGAGTTTTGCCAAAAGTCCAACAAACTCCTCAGAGAATCTTCTTTGAACATGAAACCCTGACAAGACTGAAGTTCAGATAAGGTTCTTTATGCTGGGCTGCCTGTTCCATTTAATCTCAAGGGGTGTTCACATTTTATAGAGAATTGGAAATATTTGGTTAACTAGTAAAAGTATTCAGGAAATAAATATTAAAAGTAACCAAAAAAAAAAAAAAAATACATAAAACTTTTTAAAAATAATAATGATTGAAGTATGATTTTCAAAGCTATCCAAAAAAGGCAAGCCAATGGGTTATCCACAAGTTTTCACTTCTAATCCTTGGATATCACTTTTAAAAAAAAGTAATAGAATTTAGACGCCTTTTTTAACTAAAAAGCGCAACAATTTATAACTTGTTCTTGTCACAGATAGCATTGTAAAGTTAGTCCTTACTTTTCCTTGGGAGCCTGAACTTTGCCAGTAAGTTGCCTGGTTACCATCCACAAGCCTTGACAACTGGCCCTCTTTAGACGAAACTGTAATATTCTTCACACACTTGGACCACTCTTCTATGAGCGTCCCAACTGTGGAGCTCCGTCGTTTACTGCGGCCTGGCCTGCCAACGTTCACAGGTGTGGCTCCTAAAAATCATTAAAATATTACTCACTACAAAATAGAATATTCAGTGTTCTTTGGACAGATGAAAGTGCGCCGGTTTTCTGGCTGCTGAAGACATGAAGTGACCCTTAGGGGAGGAGAAAGTTTTTGTAAAGTGCAAAATCTAGTCCCGAGTGCATAGAGACCATGTATTATGCGCTATGTAAGTCTCCAACCATTACCATTACCATTACCAGTCTTAAACTGGACTAAAACTATGGGTAGAGCAAATCAGTAATTTTTTTTAGAGATTTTTAGTAATTTTGTAAAATTCTAGTAAATTAAAAGGACATTGATAAAATGTACTACTATAAAGCTGTGTTTGCTCTGGGTGAATTTTGTTCAAACTCACCACCTGATTAATTTTGGTCAACCTCAACATCCTGGTCACTTCAACCATAAAAAAAAAAAATAAAATCCAACAACTGTGTAAAATTTAAAGTTTTACGGACCTGGTACAGCCATACGCATGAATGTGTGGCGATGGCATCGCTTGGATCGGTAGCATTTCTCACAGTAATCAAAATCTGCGCAGATACGACACTTGTAGCGACAACCTGTGAGTGGTGACATTTGACAACCATCACATCTGCGAAAAGTAAATTATTAAGAGTATGAGAAGGAAAGTGTTTCACCTTAACACGTACATTTTATACTTACATGGCGTGGTATATTCAGAGAATTAATCAAACTAATTGTACATATTTCAATGAAGATAGCAAAACTTCCAACCATTTTCAAAGACGACTGAAGACCCATTTATTCATTTCCTTTAATCAATTTTTTTCTTATTTTTCAATGCCAGCTAGATTTTCTATTGCTTTAACTAAAATAGGAGGCCTTTTGATAGTGCTTCAAGACTTCCTGCATTTTGTGCTCTATAAACTGAAAACTATTAACCATTAACTTCTACAATCAAAACAACCATTCAGACAACCTCCTAACAATCAATACAGCCAATCACAAAGCTGCCCAGCTAGCAAAAGGCTAATTTCATAAATTTTGTAAAAGATCAAATTAATCATTGATTGACCCATTACTAAACAATAAAAAACTCTCCAATAAGCAAAAAAAAAATTTAAATTTGTTTTTGTTCCACATGGTGGCTAAAAATATCATCAATCTATCAACTTACGTAACATTTTGATGAACACAAGGAACGAGCTCCATTTCTGAGACTAATCCGGTCCAATGCGGTTGTTGCGGAAAGTTTACGGTCACGTCCTTTCCATCAGCACTGAAGCCTAAACCAAGAAAATTGAAATTTGTCTAATTAAACAGAATGCATTCCACCTTTCTACAATTTGAAATAAAACACTAGGGGTATTTATGGGCTAGATGAGCGATTATATTATTTTCTATCATATTTGAGAAGTAAGTTCCACAAGAAAACTTGGTATTTATCTGTTGATCCAGTTAAGTATTCACAAAATCGTCTTGCATGTCAACATTATAGCAAGCAAATGCATATGTGGTAAAGGGTTATACAATATAGTATTTACTGACTACCCCTCACTAAACCAACTAAGTCAAGAAAAACCCAGTTTTGTAAGCAGCCCTGCAGTGACAGGCTTGGTAAAAAATATTATAATTGCTTGTTCTACCACTGTGTGTCTAAGCTAGAGAAGATCTAAGTTTGTTAGTTATGTGCTCTGAACATTAGGTTAAATAATAGTACTGTCTGCACATATATCAAATGAAGAGACACATGATTATGTAAGGCCAACGAAGAGAGTGCAAGTATGTATTCCTTCACTGATGTTTATGAACCTGTTATTATGAGTTCTAGTGACAGCTGTGAGCAGTGGCATAATGGAGAGATATAAGGCTGAGGAAAGGCTTCTTCAGTCCATAAGACCCTGAGGGGGTGGGAAATGCAGATTACCCATAGATCTATATTAAAAATACTAGACCGCAAACTCCAATGTATTCAATGTTCAAAATACACAGAGCAGTGTGTGTACCATACAAGATGGCTGACGTAGATTCAGAATATCATAATATGCTAAGCATCGTTTCAATGGCGCCTTCAACTTAACATTAAAGTTTTGAATACAGCTATGTTGAAACTCAAATGTTCCGGTGTAGCGCACAGGATTTCGATTTTCATTCCTCGGGACTTTATTTTAAAATCAGATACTTCACTCGGCCTCTCTTTTGCTATGATAGCTTAATAATTTACTAATATTATTAATAATAATCGTCAATGAAAAAGTAGTCAGAGGATTTATTTGTTAGTATAATATGTATACTAAGCCTGAAGGTGGCGCTCTTCATACGGCGGCTAACTTGGTGGTACACATACACAACTCTGCATTCCTTTGTTGCCTAGTCAGCAATTTGTTCAATAACGCTATGAGATTACCCCAATGGGGTACAGGATGAATCCCTTACCTCTACAGCGTATTTTACGACATTGTAAGGTTAATTTTTGATCTTTTTTTGTATGTTCTGCTTATTAAAAGCTCTGCTTGGTCAACTTTGAGACCCATGATCATGATAATAAAAGAAAAAAATTAAATGCCAATTAATACCCCTAAGCCCTTTAAGGTCTGCGTCTAGGCTGTAGCTAGCGAGAGCTCATACATGTTACACCATTGCCAGTGAGGGTGGAATGTCTCGAAGGAAAGCCAGATATGATGTCAGAAACCAGGCTAAAAAGCTGTGTAAGAATGCTGCCAATATTTTAAATAATGGTCAATGGAAGAACAGAAATAGATGGATAATTGCAACCTCCTTCGATTCAGTAGGAAAGATGCCACAAGTAAGCTAAAGATTACTGATGTAGGTAATAATAAAGTGAGATAATGAAGGGCTGTCAATCAATCAATCAAATTAAATTTACCATTAATGTTATCAATGCCACAGGGAATATCAGAGTCAATAATATGATGTTCACCTAAAATAAAATTATTATTGATTGGTCCAAAATCAAATTTATCAACGTTAAAATGAAGTATAAAAAATCAATACCATCATTATAAGGAACAGCATTTGGAGAAATTATTAGCAAATTTTAAGTAAATATACTAAGCTGGATGAACCAACTAATTTCAAGTTTTAATTAGCAGAAGTTACAACCCAAATATCAAAGATTCAGAGAGCCAGAACATTTAAATAGTTATTGGATTTGAGTGAAACAATAATGAAACTAACATATAATAAATTAATAAAAAGAATATATATGAACATAATATTTTTCTAAAAATCTGATTAGTTGTTGAAATAAAACATCACCTGTAATTGTACCAATACTCTGGTGTGTAACGGAACCCCATCGATACTTGGGGGAAGCAATTACCCTTCTCACACGCACTCTGTCCCCTATCTTGATGTTTGTACCGGGTATGCCTTTTGCTTGCAGTCCTAGCAGCTCCACGTGGATGTAGCGTACCCAGTAAGTTCCTCCTTTGATCTGCCAGTCTCCTTGAACATTCAGATCATGGAGTCCATCCCGGTCCAACTAATTGGAGAGAAGAACAACGTTTCAAAATCACTATTTGTTATTCGTCGCAAATTGTGTTTCAGAGTAATGGAATTTTTTTAATCTATTTTATTGCACTAAACTAACTTTTACATATCTGTAAATCATATTATGTTGTTATTTTCCTCACTTTCAATGTTAAAACAACAATTTTTAACGATTTGATGATAGTTTTTGCCTGAGAAATGTCTGAAATCTTAAACTGTGAAGGCTGTTATCTCAGATATTGTTCTTTAAACAACTGCATGTTTAACTCCTGTAAATTCATAACAAAATATCAAATTTAAATGAATCTTTTACCATTTCATAGCTCTTATTTTACTCTTTAACGCTGTATTAATAACTAAAAATCAGATTTTGCAAGGAATTACTGGTTTGGCTTGTCTTCACCACATGTGTGAATGCCTTTTAGGTCAACATTTTTTGAATAATCTTATAATTATATGATCATTTCCATACTGGTTCTTTCTAGTAATCAATGCTAATGAAAATACACCATCCTCAATTAATATTAAATTAAGACACATATTCAACACCTAAGTAATGTGTCTGTAAATTAAAACTGGTCTTCGCCGAATTAAAGACCATGGTAACGGGGCTTTACATGGTCTTTAACAGCTTTGGTGTCTAATTAGAATAATAAAGATAAAAGACATTTGTTACTATGGGAAACCACAAAGGTGGTCTTTAATTGGTGATTGTCATTAATTAATTGAAATAGTTGAAAGATACCTATTATGAAAAAAATTATTATAAAAAACTGTATCCATTATTTAATATCACATTATGTACAACAGACACAATTTAAAAAGGCAATACCTTCACAACTTTACCAATATCCCCTTCTCGAACTTCTTCATAAGTACGGCAACAGCGTATCGTCATACCAACTTGAATATTCTCACGGATGTACAAAGCATAATCATCGTTGCTAAGGAAATCACTGCGTTTCTTAAAAGCTTTTCCTTCAGAAGCTGAACCCTGTAAAAATATTACACACAAAAAGGAAAAATGAATTGATTGATTTCCTATAAAAATATATTTTTAAAAAAATGATCATGATGAGAGCAATAATGAAAAGAAAGACGATGACGATGATGATAATAATGAGTCATAACGATAATAATACTTCTCGCAAGTCGCAAAAAATCCCGTCTATATAAAAGCTAATAAAATCAAAATAATATTACTAATAATATAATAGTAATAATTATAATGATAAAAACTAAGTTTAAATATTAATAATAATAATAATAATAATAATAGAAATCCCAGAGCCACTGCGGCCATGCCCAAACAACCAATCCTTTGTCACATAAGACAAAAAAAGCAATGAGGATGTTTAGTAATTAATAAGCAATAGACAATTTCTTTCTCAATTTAAAGTAACTTTTATTACCGCATTAAATATGCATTTATCATTCAAGTCATCCTCTTCATCTTCAATTTCAGTTTCATAATGCTCATCACTAATTGACTCCTCTTCCTCCTCGTTCTCTTCCTCTTCTTCCTCCTCTTCGCTCAAGTCAGGTATCTGTACATCTGGATGATCCACAAGCCAGTTCACGATAGCTTGGACACTAGGACTGTTTTCAGACAACACGCCTGCAATGGCAATGGCAATGGTAATGGTAATGCAGTGTTCTCCCAATTGACAAATTTTTACTGGTAAATTTGTCCATGTAAATCCAGCTAAGTGCTCGCAACGTGAGGTATTGCCTCTTTAAAGTCGAGTTCAATGGCTTCATAAAACAATATCATAGGCTATAGGCCTAGACTGGAATGATGTTCATATATTGAAAGGCGGCCACAATAACCACACGTTCCTCCTCATCCATAGAGATCTTTTATTTAAAGTAACAATGGCAATTGTCCAATTATACACGCCAAGACTTTCTTATTTATATGAATATATCAAGTTGAGACAAGGATCAAAACAAATTCTGTGTTAACTTAAGCTCTGTCCACACTATCAGATTTTCTTTGAGAAAAAACTGTTGCATGCCCTTATATGGTCATGATATGCCCATATAAGGTAATGGTGCGATGTCATAATGACATGTCATATTATTTTCTAACAAGGTTTGATAGTTTGAACAGCGCTTCAGATCTAGCCAACAGGCACTCCAGGAATTTTTTCCCTGGTCATTGGATCCACATGCTAAGTGTTGCTGCTGACAATCAGCGCCGGAGCAGATAACCCCACCAGGTTCCCATTTATACTCCTGGGTGATGAGAAGCAATGCAGATAAAGTGTCTTGCTCAAGGACACAAGCGAAATCCACAACGAGGGATTGAAACCCTGACCTCGAGGTTGGGAAACCAAACTGTTTCCCGCTGCGCCAAACCACTTCTACTTTTCTAATTTTAAAAGAGATATTTTTTTAGCGAACTTAAATGCAATATTAATCAAACAGAAGTGTGTATATTTACCAAGTGACTGAACTGCAAACTCGACATTCAATCTAGGAAATCCCATTTCCATGACCTGAAGAACAAGCAGCGATGGAGGAGGCTGCGCTGGTTTCACCTTCTTAGGCTTTGTGACAGCTCCTGTTGGCTTGTCACCAGCAGGTCTGGCGGCAGAACCAGCGGATGCCGCAACTGGAGAGGGTGTAGAGGGTGACCGGTTCTCTGGGGAGGACGTCATATGAGATGGATAACGAGCTTCTGCAACCAAGTGCTGACAGACCGCAAGCGCTGCAGACTAAAAAGAAAACAAATATGTTGTCAAGTAAAGCTGCATCTCACAGGCAAGGAAGTACTTTTAAGTAATGCTAGGTGCAGTAGTCTAGTACCATAAAGCCATTTCCAGACCATCAAATCTTATTTGATTGTATGAACATAGCTTTTAAACAACTGTATATATATTACTTTTATTTAGATTTGTGAATTTTCTGCTAACAAAATTGAAATACCAATGAAATAAATAATAATAATAATAATAATAATAGTCTAAACAGATCATCATTAAAAACAATCGGTTGCGTGCGCGTCGTCGCATTATGTTCTTCATAGTATCGCGTCAGCTAGCAAACGTTAGCCGCAGCGTGCGCCAGGCTTTAGTAACATAGATGTCTGAGTTTTACTTGAACCCTGTTCAGGCTATCACATTTGAATTGACCAAAAAAAATATGAAGTGCCTAAATTCACTTACCTCTAGTTCTTGTCTGTCAAACAAAGCTTTGATTGGTGAAGGCTGGGTAGCTGTGACCATCAATTGTTGGAGCAAAGATGTGTCAGATGTTGTGGCCTCTGGTGAGCTGCCATCACTTGAGGCCAGAAGCCCTCCAGATTTAACAGATAATAGCGGCCTCAAGTTCTGCTGGTGGCGGAACAATGTTCTTGCAGCTTGCAATAGATACAACCTGATCTCTTGTGTTCTCAATTGTTTCATAAGTACATTATCTGTAACAATAATGAAGAAACAATCAAGAATAAACAAGAAAAAATATACAGATATTAAAAACAAATTTCAACAATACAGTACAGAACTGATTTCCATAAATGTTGATTGTATCTAAACACTCACACACTTATATGTGACAAATCCATTTTCGCTCTGTGATCATCACACATTTTCCATTGAATCTGATGAAAATTGATGAAGCACTGACATATTGGTCTTAGATCAACTCTAACAAATTCGCAGGCAAAGCCTCTGCAAAGATTATACACCCTGCGCAAAATGTTGAAAAATTGTTGTTCTTATGTTCCACTAGAAATTATATTTTATGTTCACATCGAAAACACTGTGCCTTAAATACATTTGTGCAAGCCAAATTTTGATGTAAAATTTACTTGCTCACTGGTAGTGGGAATGCATGTTTTAAGTGCAAATCCTACCTAGGATTGGAGGTAGGCTGTTGCTTGGTATCCTGGTCTTCTGTATGCTCTTGTTAATCTTGAAGCCATGGCTTGCCAAGCTAATCAAGGAAGCCCATGTCTGTAGGGCACTGTCAACCAAGGGCAACTTCTCAACACTGAACAGCATTACAGGAATCTGTATAAAATAATATAAAAATAAGTCTAGAATTAGAGGGGTTGCAGGATCAGAGCAGTTGCAGAACCAGGGGATTCTAAAACCAGAAGGATTGCAGAACTGGAGGTGTTCCTGAACCAGAGGAGTTGCAGAATCAAATGGGTTGCAGAACCAGAGAAGTTGCAGAATCTGAGGGGTTGTAGAACCAGAGGGTTTGCGGAATCAGAGGAGTCGTGAATTGAGAGTAAACATTGTATGCTTTTTAAAGAAAAAAAAATTGTATACTGACCGGTGTAACAGATGATAGTCTGCAGACCTTCAACACATGTTGACCGTCAAACTGAATGGTCAGTCTGCCATTGGCTGATATACCAGCCAGTGTGCCTTGACCATGTTCCGCATGCTGTACCAAACCACCTAGACGTGGCCGTTTATCCATGCCACCAATTACACACAACACCGCCATCACACGTCCCTGTTTGATTTGAGTGTCGGTCTCATCATCTCCATCCTAATACATGAATAATACACAATAATGTTCAGGCTTTACAGAGACTTAAGGCTTAAGAAAAACTGAAAGCTTTATAAAGATTGAAGGCTTCAAGAAATCTGCACAAGCTTTGAAAACTGCCCAGACTATAGGAAGACTGTTTAAGCTTTACAAAAATGCTTTAGGTATACTTAAGGCTTTAGTTAGTCTGCAAAATCTTTGTAAAACAATCAAGACTTTAGGAAGATTGTTCAGGCTCCACAAAGATTCTCTAGGAACACTTCAACTAAACTGTCTTTTGATCGTACCTGAGAGGTATCAATAACAAGGTCTCTAACAAGTTGAAGTTGATGATATATGTAGGAATTGATGAGGGAATTCCAGGTGTCAAGGTCATGCAGAATCCTTAACAACACTATGATCTCTTCAGCGATGGTGCTCGCAAAAGAAGCTGTCAAAGATGTCTTACTGCGGACCTTCTTACTCTTCCTTATGTCTATAAATGAGACAAAACATTAATACAGTATTATTATTATTATATAGAAATTTACATAGTGTTATATAATCGATTGATGTGCTGGATCAATGGCGCTGAGCATGTTGATGGCAGAAAGAAATTGACTTTTTAGTAATTTCTAAAGTCTTGTCCAGACTATCAATTTTATTTGACAGACATGTGACATCATGACCATATATAGGCACATCATGACTATATATTGGCATACAAGTTTTTTGTGTCAAACAAAATTAGCTAGTCTGGACAGAGCATTAGAAAGGAAGAACAATTTCTACTGTGTGTAGACAGTGAATTCCAAAGTGTTGGTGCTGCAAAAGAGATTGATCTTTGGCCAGTGGTTTTGGAAACTGCAAGAAACAGAGAGCAAAGAAATATTGGATGATCTGAAGGTGCATAACATGTTTTATATTTTACCTTCTACATGCATTTTACAGTGTGGATAATTAGATTACATACCTCCTTGTGTAAACATTGGGTCCGAGCAACATGCTAGTAGAACTTTGCCTAGTAACGAGAAAAGCAAATCGACCAGTTCCTGCATTCTTTCTGGCTCTTCACAATCTTTCCATGATGGAAGCACCCAGCGTAACAAACGTAAAGACATGATCTATTAAGGAATACAGGCAATTAGACAAAAAAAAAAACAACCATAAAATAAGATAATAATAAGTTATAGATTACTTATATAATGCTTAACTCTATGAACTAAAATAAGTTAAGAACAGCTACACAAATCAGGGTGATTCATTAACCCAGTCACTGAAAAGTTATTTTAAGTGAAACTTTAAAAAAATGAGGAAGTTAGCTTGGTGTAGATCCTTTTTATATGTACTAGCATGGATGATTTCAGTTTTTCTAAATTAACGATCTGTTAAAATAATAATTTAAAAGTGAACATAACAGTGCCTCTATGCACAAAAAACAGAAACTCCAGATGTGTTAGGGTATCCAGGTAAATGACATGTGTCAGGGCATCCAGGAAAGTGACAGGTTTCAGGGCATCGAGGTAAGTCATAAGTGACAGGCTATTCAGATATATCACATGTGTCAGGGAATCCAGGTAAGTCATATGTGTCAGGGCATCCAGGTAAGAAAGGTAAGTCATATGTGTCAGGGCATCAAGGTAAGACATGAGTGTCAGGGCATCCAGTTAAGTCATATGTGTCGTGTCAGGGCATCCAGGTAAGATATGGGTGTCAGGGCATCCAGGTAAGTCATATGTGTCAGGGCATCCAGGTAAGACAAGGGTGTCAAGGCATCCAGGTAAGTCACATTTGTCAAGGCATCTAAGGAAATGCGGAAAGTGGTCCTGGATAGTTTTATTATGGTTTTTAAAAATACAGATGAAAAAGCATTTACCTGTCGTGGAAGTGTTTCACCACTTATTTCCTCACTACCAATAACATTCAGCAACAGCGTAACCCACTGAGCAGTGCTCAATGAGTGGCACATCCTCTGGTTTGATGCTATTCCACATATGAAGCCTAAGGTGGACCATTCACTGTACTGGTGTCCTATGACATTACTTGTACTCTCAGCACCTACTGTCATACCACAACCAAAGGATTCTTAAAGAAAAAGGATATCAAACATGTATAAGTGTATATAAACAAACTGTGATAGGACTTCGGACATAATTTGAACCCAAGACCATGGAATTGGAAGGCAAGCACCTCAACTATAACGTCACACATCAAAACTAATGAAAATTACTAAAAGAAGGATGATTCTATTATTTTTGAGGGGCGTTTAAATTTTGAAAAGGATAGTTAATGCTGGCAAGTATACATAAACCACACTTTGCTAAATCAAAATGGTCAGCCACAAGCTTGAACTCAGCTATTTTGATTGGAAGCTGGGCACTTTACCAGTGTGCCACATTCTTCTAAAATGTAAGTCACTGCAACACTCACTGGACTGTAGCGTAGTTCCTGTCTGCACAATCCTGTGCAACAATCCACTTATTGTACTGATAGCATTCTTCTGCATGGATTCGCCATGCAATCCACAAGATACAGCGAGAGAACGTAGAAGACAAATGCAAGACCGACGTAGCAGGGATGACGGATGGGCACTCTCATCTCTATGTTTAGCACCTGTGAGATTAAATATAACTTATTCAATTCCTGATCAACATACTGTACATATTTCATATTATAAGTCAGTCGTGATGTCATCACTGCAACTCCCAATGTTATTTGCCAATCCCCCACAGTCCAATCATTTTTCAATAGTGGACGCTTGGCTTGATTTTTTTAGGTTCATGTGCAAAAAAAACCCCCAATTTTTCGTCAATGCAAAGATATCGCGCACCACGTTGAAAATTGAATTTTAATTGTAACAAGGTTAATTAGAACCTGAAGGAAGTTACTTCAAATTCAATATTAAGTATGAAAAATTAGGGAATTCCTTCAATCAATAAACCCTAATAAACTGAACGTTTAATAGGAATAATCTAGACCTATTTTAAAGAATCAATTATAAAAACTAATATAAAATGACAGCGATTGACTTATAAAGCAATTAGTAGAGCATGCATCATACACTAGTGGAAAATTATCAACTTAGGTTAGATTTAATGCATTCAAAAATACTAATTGCTATTATTATACAAATTACTAATACTAATTCTACTAATTGCTTATTACACTACGCCTCTGTTAAGCTTAGTTCTTACTACCAAGTATGAGAAAAATTAACGATCTGCTAACATATGGGTGTGATATGAAATCACTATGCCCATATTTGGTTATGACCTTTATATGATTGTGATATATTAAACATATGTATGATTTGTCATGACATCCGTATTCCCATATATGAATATGATATGACATGGTTATGCACATATATGGTTGTCATATATCATTATGACAATGTATGATTTGTGATGACATCATTATGCCATATATGATTGTGATATGACATCATTATGCCCATATATGGTTGTCACATATAATTATGCCAATGTATGGTTTGTGATATGACATCATTATGCCAATATATGATTAGTCATCATGCCCATATGATTTGATCATTTCATATAATGCCCATATATGACTACTATTACATCATCATTTCCATATATGGCCAAAGCCATATATGAACAGAGCAATATATCACCTGGATCAATGTCCACTTCCTTGTCCTCCTCCATGTTGTCCATAATGAGAGGTGGTTCCGCAAGCTTCAGGTCATACTTTCCTTCTTTTCCCATCCGATAGGAATTGGTGCTCCCTGTGTCCCATTGTACACGTATCCAGCCATCTTCTCCAAGCTCGCCTATCACTCGACCCTGACTGGGTGGTGGTCCATCCTAGAAAATCAAATATAATACTATTATTTCTCAGATTCTTTTTAAACTAAAGTTTTGGTAACACAGCAAATACTTGATTAAGAATGTAAGATGCAGTGACAGACTGAATGAAGGTAAAGGCAAGTTGAGCATTTAAGACAGGGCACTGCAACCTAAAGCTTTAATTATTATTATATCAGAACTGGTTCCACTCTACTGGTGGAACAAGTCTTCTCATTAGGGACTAACAACAGTAAGCACAGTGTAAGCAATAGGATTGTGTGCACTTTAAAAACCAAGTAGTTTATTCAAGAAGAGTATGGATATAACCCAGTGCCCTGGTATAAAGAGACTTTATAGTAGGCAGACAAGAGTAGCTGGCAATGGTGTATTGGGTAGCACAGATGCAAAGGTAACCTTAGGAGTGAAGAAAGTTATTTAAAAAGCCACAATGCATGCATCTCCCATTAATACTTTACTATAAAGGTTTTTACCTAGCTCCAACAAGTGCCGTGCGCCAAGCTGCAGGACCAATCGTTTTTCTACCTCAGCACTCCCAAGTGTTACCAAATTATTATATAAATAAACTTGTACCATTGTAATGTATTGGAATTTCTTAATTCTTTTCGATGAATCTACTCGCTTTTATATATTTTTTTCCTTTATTTGGCCTAATTAATTGATTTTACTCAAGAAATTTTCAACTTTTCTTGCATTTTGAGTGTTTTATACCGAATAAATAAATAAAAAATAAAGTTCCACTACCTTTACATTTAAACAATGAACAATTAATGTGACCAACACTGGATTCAAACTCACAACCATTCAGTTGAAAGCCTGACGCCATACCAGTGTGCCACTTTCCTTTACACTTTCCAATACCTGATCTCCCCATTTCCAATCTTGTCCCCTGATGACTCTGGTGCCAATCTTCATGAGGGATGCTAGTTCTGGTCCGCTGGTAGGTATTGGTGCAGGCTGGGCACATGTTCTGGTCTCCTCATACACTGTTGCAACACTTAAGGTGTCATCTTCTTCTTCAGTCTCTTCAGGGCCTATAAATGAACACATAACCACCAATTTCATCTGCTATTTTAAATTCTACAATGTAAAATGAGGCACTGTTTAATGATTTACTATATTGTTATTATTAAGCCAGATATATACTCTAACATTTCAGACATTTTAGTCAGTCAAATTTTAATTTCAAATTTTAATCAGATGTTGCCTGAGAGATTATGCTTCAGATAAATCATGTGTTTTAAAATGTCTGTTTGAATGTTGGACAGTTCTGTACCTTATCTGACAAAGTTTGATCAAACAATGTTGTTCTAAGACCGACTATCAATTTTTATTTGACAAAAGAATAATACATGCCTAAATATGATCATGAAATCACTTTATGACCATACATAGGCACATCATGACTATAAATGGGCATACAACAGTTTTTTGTCAAATACATTTTATAGTACGGTCAGGACTTAACAGGCAAAACATTTGATGGTGTATCTTTACTAATATGTCTTTTGAGGGATACTAACCTATGAGTCTGAGTATGGTTTGAGTAAGAGCAAGCACTCCAGAGTTCAACAACAAACTGACACCATTTGGAAGATGGTCTCCAGTAAGGAGTCCTAGAGATGCCAGAAGGAATCTTGCTTGTGGTAAGAATCCAATGGATCTGGCATCATTAGAGGTTGTTTCAGAGGAAGTCTTTAGCTGGGCTTCAGCTGCTAGAACATGCTTCCGTAGAGTGTCTATGCTCCAAGCATTAAGCTTGGAAAACGTTGATTCTAGAATTACTCGGTCATATGGAGGGATTAAGTTGACATTAGTCAATGGATTGGACATTGGCGAGGTACAACTGTAAAGAAAAACCAATTTAATTCGGTTCAATTTATATCTCTTTCAAAATCTTAACTTATTGAATTCAAAGTTTTTTTACAAGTCTTCTAATCTTGAATTTCTGAAAATAATTCATTGCATAGATATTCTAACTACTTAACATCATATAAGATCTATTATGACTTTAGGAATCTATTTATAGACATTTTTGCCTAACCTGCATCCGCGAGTCAAGAAAGGAACATTCACGTCATGGCCCTACCAATACTTTCAATACTAAAACACGAGGATCATAATGTTGAGTTTTTAGAACTAAATTGACATGGCTCAACAGGGTATAACTTACCCGATAAAAAGAAGATGATCAAGTTGTTAATTACCAAATCGTTCAGTGAATTTATAAAGAGATTATCAAACTAAACTAATCTTTTAGACCATTATAGTTATTATCTAATCCTATAATATATAAAGAGATTAATCAAACTAAACAAATCTTTTAGACCATTATAGTTATTATCTAATCCTATAATATATAAAGAGATTAATCAAACTAAACAAATCTTTTAGACCATTATAGTTATTATCTAATCCTATATTATATAAATAAAGAATTCAATGTTATTGTGGGCCTTCCTGGATTAACTACACAAGAAGAAAAATATATCCAGTAAATTTTACCTAATCTTGTCCATTGCCACTAATCCTTGCCACCCACAAAGCATTGCATAGCGTACAGATTGTACCAAGTACTCCTTACCCAGCAGCCGCAACATTGCTTCAGCACCCTTCAACCGATGATCTGCTCTTTCCATCTGAGTAATAAAATGATTTTTATGTCATTTAATATGGAAAACAAAATCATATTCACTCTGATATTTATGCTTAAGAGAAGTGAAAAGAGAATGAGGATGTTTATGTTGATTTTACTATTCATACAATACTGTAGACCCAACATTGTAAAGTATAGCAGTGTTAAATAATGCTGTACTACGAAAATAAGACATTTTAACAAAGCTTAGTGTATTTGTATTTCGTAATGTAAATAATACACAATTAACACCTCGACGAGATTTGATTGACAGATAAACCGACTAATCAGCGAGTGTCATTTAGTCACATGACTAAAACTTTTTCTCGGACATTTTAAATTCCTTAGACAGCTGGTTGTCAACGCGAAACATACGTGAGCCTAGGCCTAGATGTCTATGCTTGATAGATACCCAGATTTACACAAGTAAATTGGCATTTGCCGACAACGAGGTTGACTGTATACGGCTTTTACAACATTTCCCCGCCTGTTCCATGAAATAAATTAACACTATGAATATATGATTCATTTTGCATACCGCCTACCCTGAATTCTCTTTCTTAAAGGTTGATAGCAAAGAAAATGTTTGCCAAATTGGTAAGTCTAGCCACAATTGTCTAAGGATTTTTTGACTTTGTGGGTGGGGCTTCGCATCCTTGCCGACATGTCAATTCAGATTTGTACAGAAAACATTTTGGTATTACAAAAAATTTCAAATATATATGATATTATATCACCTACCTGGTTGTGTAAAGCCTTTCTAAATTTTTCAATTTCAATATTATCGTCATTGAGAGCGAATTCGATTATTTTATTGATGAGGGCAGGCTGTGTGCTGGCACCTGTCATTCGTTGTCTCAACCAGCGAAACTTTCTAGCACTGGTTATTGTGCTAGCAATCGACTTCCACGAATCCTGCAAATACGTCAAATATATTGTCTTACATGCTACGAAATCGGTGGTTGGTAATTTTACAAATTACGAGTAAACAATGTAGTTCTTAATATTGCTGACAGGAGGGGTGCAATGGGACAAAACGAATGAAGATCTCACCTTATCACTTGTGCTTAACAGTTGTCGAGATTTCTTAGCAAATACTTTAAATTCTCCTTCAGCTGTTGAATCTACAGGATCCTCCTCTTTGTGTTCTTCCCCCTTTGATTCTTCTTTTTTAGAACCTACACAGAAAGCAAACAAAAGTAAAATTTATAACCACAGGCTAGATTCTAATTGACATTTTTGTAGGATATAGACCAATGGAACCACAGGTAGTGGCGTCACAGAAATTGTGGGGCCCTGGCAGTGACTGTTATTTGGCGCCCCTCTAATAAGCATGCAGAGCGAACAAACAGACGTTGGGGACCAAGGTCCGCGTAGGGCCCCCACTCTTCACCCCCTTCTGCTTAGAGCTTATGACATTTATGAACTATTACCTGTGTTGTCAGAGAACATGGAATGGTCCCAAAAAAATGTAGTGATCGTTTACGTGAGCCGTGAGATAATGCGGTTTCTGTATGATGATGATGCAAGGCCAGTGTATTTTCAAGGTTTAAAACTGTCGGGGAGCCATTGAATGAAACTATGGTATTATAGTTCATATTATATATTTTTTTTTAATGCAATGCCGGGGCCCCTCGTGCCTGGGGCTCTGGCACTCCGCCCCTATGTCAGTGCCTGAGTGTGACGCCACTGACCATAGGTGCTAACTGCTTTAGTTACTACTGTGTATTGGCCGCCCTCAGAAAAATATTATGTTTTGTTTACAATCTGCCTGCGGGCTAAACCGTTGGATGTGGAAGGTGCCACCGACAGGCTAAGTAAGAGTGTAGAATGCACTGCCAATGATCAGTACTGCAGTTTTAATATATTAAAGGGATAATGTTTTTAAAAAAAAAGAGCAATTGCCATTTTATCCAGGAGTTATAAACTACTAATATGATTATTTAGTATTAAATACTTAAGGTGTAATACCCTCTGTTGTTGATGAGGTTCTGGATCTTCTTTCCCGTATCATCCTCGATACGATCCTCTTCCATCGTGGAGCAGTGATTAGGATCTTTAACCTAGTGAGGGCTGAAACTTCGTTTCCGACTGCTGGTCGCAGTTCAGTGAACAGGAACTTGCAGCGAGCTATCACTGGAGAGCACACATCTTCGTAAGACTGGCCACTATCTTGGTGGATCTAGAATAGTGTACATTGAGAACACTGTAACCTTTCTCGACGTGTTATACTGACTATTATAACACATTTAAATTGATCCTTGTCATTTCATTGGTGGATTTTGTATCATGTGACATTGTTTTGTCCCACTGCACGCCTCCTCCTAATACAATGTTTTCATTGGGTAAAAGAAATTGCTACTCAATTCAGAAGAAAGGTAAACCCTAACATTTTTTCATAAAATACCACATGACAAGGCCAAATTTGAAGCGTTATAAAACGAACAATGAACGCTTATAAGTGCAATTGAAAGGATATTTTCCTTTGGTGAAAAATTGAATGTTCAATACAAGGATGCAGAGAGTGTTTAAACTCATGAAAAAATCCTTCACACTGCACTCAAAAACATTCATTATTAGATTACCTTATTATAAGTAAAAATGAGGAGGTTTTCGCCGCACGTCAGCCTTCACTTTAACATTAGTACCCTCTTTGTAAACCAATCGAAATACGCATGCGCAAACCCGTAACTAACGTACATCGAGCACGTAAAATCCTGAAATTTACATACTCCGCAGTGCAAGATGAATAAATTATGACGTCATCCGTTCACGTCGTGCAGCGAAAACCGCCTATTATTACAGTTTTACCTTTATGAGTGTCTTCTTGGCATTGTAGACAACTCTACAGATTTCTGCAATGGATTTTGGAAGCGGTCTTGTATGGAGGGTGCTCTCGGTCTGTCCATGATGTGGATCAATAATCGCCAGTGATGCATGACCAAGGTCATGGTGCTTTAAAATGCAAGCGGTCAACAAACGGCCAACCTCCTCTACCGGATGGTCAACAGCAAACGTAATAGGTGCAACTAAATGGTGATTTTTACAGTATCGTTCGCAACAAGCTAAGAAAGACCTCACATAAGGATCATTTAATCGGGAGTCAGCCAGCGCTTGAATAAATGGTCGTGCAGTGTCTGCTAAAGACGATGACCGTGCAAAGCTTTTGTCATTGGATTCCTGGATATAACCATCACCTGGCTCTCCTCCTGATGCTCTGGATGTGTCATCATCCTCTGGCATGGAGCTTGGTGGTGGAGGAATCAACTGGATCCCACCACTAAAAAGCTCAGAATCAAGCCACTTCCGACATTCAAGCTCATTAGGTGTAAGTGGAAAGCTATGCATCTGGTGGTTGCAATGGAGTCCAAGGAGAACTGCTAAAGTTCGTTCGGTGTCAATCAAAGGAGACGATATGGAACTGATGTCCTTACTAGCAACAACATCTTGCTCAGGCTGCCGAGAAAAACAATTTTATTCATCAATTAAAACAACTGTTTGTTGTATAAGAACACTTAAATAACTCTTCAAACAATCATAAATTTGTAAATTAATGCCCTAATTTTTCTTGTAATAAGTAAAATACACGACACTCACTTGAAGGTAGACTCCCACAAAAAATCTTTGAAGTTGGTTCTGAGCTTCTGCAGAATGGTTGGCAGCAACAAATGCTTCAGTAGCATCTTGAGCTTCAAAGAGAAGGCATATCAGAGCATGACCAATAAACTTTGAACTTTTGAAAAATCACAAAATAAAATATTTACAAAGAGAATGAAATGATGCACTATTAAAGCAGGATGTAATCTAAATTATTATTTTAGTGGCAATTAGTTTATTTATCCAGGTATAAACACTCATGAAATAGACTTATATATTATTTTATAGCTATTTATTAATAAGTAATAAGTCTATTATAATTGTTATTACATTTTTAAAAAATATAAATAAAATATCAAGACAGTAATATATGAAAGCAGTAAACATAGAAAAATACCACCATGCACTGCTCCCAGAACAAGCAAAATTCAAACAGTGAATAAAGAAAAAAAGTATGAAAAACATTATAAACAAAACTAGTTTTAAACAGTTTAAAATTGACAAATTGACTTTAAATAAGCTTTAGCTACCTGCTAATGTGAGTAAGCACTCACTGCCACAGGGTGCATCCGTCTGGAAGTCCTTCAAGTCGTACACCTTGCCATGGATAACCACCCACAGGCCGCCATCTTTGTTGTGGTTCTCCAGGTCAGCTTTCCTGATCAACTGCACTTCTTCCATGTTGTATGGGGCATTGTTAGTAGGTGCTGTAGAACCAACTGCAAAGCAATAACAACAATGATATACCGTAAAAAGCTTGAACTGAAGCCCAGTGGGCTTAATCTCGAGATGAGGCCCATCTCAAATTGAGGCACCCCCCACCCCCATTTACCGTTGTTTGCAAAATTAGCCTTGAACTTTTCAAGATAGTATATTATATACACTGTACATGAATTTCAAAGAACAAAATAAATTAAAAACAAGCTAGGTCTATACAGTAGATAAATGTCAGTTAAATACATGCCATAATACGGGACAAATTCACAAAATTAACAGCATTCATTTAGAAAAGAAGCCCCCTCTTTACTTTGCAAAAGTAGCCTGGGAAAGAAGTCCATCTTGCAAAAAAGTGCATCTCGAATAGAAGCCCACCTAAATTTCGCAAAAAAGAACCCCCGACTTCAATTCGAGGTTTTACAGTAGTTTGATAAATAATAATTGTAATAATAATATTGGTGACTTACATAATATTAAAATATATTATAATTCAAAGTCAAATATTTATAATAATCTACAAACATGTTCTTAGAATATTTCTTTTTGTAAGTGTATCACTCTAGTGTTTTTTGTTGTCACGGTGAAAAGAGCATGAGGACGTGTATGTGGCAATTCGCATGGATATAATACAGTGTGCTGTGTAAAACCTACTCTGATATGTTAAGCTTGATAAACATATTAAATTCTATTGTAATTGTTGTTATTGATATTTTTATTATTAATTTTTTTTTTAATGAAATTTAATTATAGAGTACTACAGTGTTACCTCACGATACCATGTAATACTACTCCGTTGCTATCGTTGCAAAAAGTGTTCAACCGGACACCATTTTCTTCACTGACACACCATTGATCCCAATTTCTAACATAACTAAGATGTTTATCTTACATTTTTTTGGTATATTTTACTTGATGGTTAAATGTGTGTTCGATAACTAATATAATGCAAGCTTTTGTGTTTTTAGTATATTTTGATGGTAAAATATGAGATTTTAAAATCCCTATTTCAGAAAGCACTATGAAGTCATTCAGGCGTAATGAACGGTAACCAACGTCTGTTGACAACAGAGAGCCCCACCTGGTGTTGTGACTGTGGTACTCTATTGAACTAACCTGGTATTCCCGGCCAATCTAAGTCATTTTTATCTTCCTTATTGACTCCCGGTGCTAAGAGGTTGAATCTGTCTAGAGTGTCCAGCATGTTGCCTAGGAGCGGTACTGCCTCTGAGTAATGCATCACCAGCGACGTGTGAATCTCAAGCAACAGCACGCAGCTTACTAACTCCGGCAACAGTACTCCTGCAAAGTAAGTAAAGATACTTGAGAATCCCTACAAGCTCTAGATTTATTTAAATAGAATCAGTCTCACTCAGACTGCAAATTACCACATATACCTTGACAGTTGATTTAGTTCTCTTTTTGGATTTCCTGTCTCTCCATATGATTTTTTATGTGAATTTGTATTTTTGAGATGAATAAATGAAATGAAAAATAAAACCATTCTCTTTTCCACTGTGCCTGCAAAAAGCACTGGAGCGATACACCTTTATTCATCTATATGACCATACAGAAATTTGTTGCCTGCCTGCTAAAAAATAAACATAATAAAAAAAATGAGAGATGTAAAGAAGGCAGTGCCAAATGAGATGTTGTGAAAATATCTGAACATGACTATAATAAAGACTGAATCCCAACCAATGAAGTCTCAATCAAGGTACTCTATAGTATCTAATATGTGATTTGACAACTCTTTCTTTGCACTATCCTCCAAACATATATCTGCAATGACACAATTACCTCTACATCAATTATCATGCTCCCATACAGGGAATTTATTCATCAAACTCCAGGCCTCCGGCCCCTTGTAAAACAAAATTATTACAAATTAAATAAGCATGCTGTGACAATACCGTACATTAAATAAATTGCATTAATACACCCGTGTTTCTTTGTTTTCCTTTCTCTTAAATGCATGATAAATAAATAAACATACTTTTCTAATTATATTACTGTTTTTTGATGACATAATTTGATAAAATTTTTCGTTTGTTGGAAAATTAATATAATATGATGGGAGATACTAACTCAGGAAGCAACTTACCAGATAAATCTGATTCTACAACTCTAGCAACGACTGCAAAATGCTTGCAACTTTGACCTGCTAAACTGGAGGCCACAGGCATGATGTCATTAATGTGAGAGCACAACAAAGCTATATATTTACGTAGTAATGAGCCAGCACCAAGTAATTCAGGATCTACAAAACATTGAAAATGCAATTACTACAGAATAACATTTGGTAACAGATAGTAAGTTATATACAGTAGAACCTCATTTTTACGTATCCCAGTTATACGAACCCTCGGTTTTACGTACGCCTCGTATCGACGATGATGTCATCAAATACCCCGAAAATATTCAAAACAAACGGCCCTTTTTAGAGCAACCATAAGTAAAAAGACTATAACTATAAACTATAACAATAAACAAACCATAATGCAACTATTTTCATTAAACAGCAACATTGATTGAGTGTAATACCGGGTTGTTGTATTCTAAAACCAAGTGAACTGAGTGAGATGAACAACTACCGATGGTGCTCAAAATAATTGCTTTCCTCCTTAGCTTCGTGTGGCAAACCATGGAAAAACTTGTCTGATCTAATTATCTACACAAAGCTGAGTAGGCATAGTTTCGTACACGAACGCTAATTGGTTGGCTTGCCCAGTGCAGTGCACATGGTTTTGCTGTTTCACGTACACAAACGCTAATTGGTTGGCTCGCCCAGTGCACATGGCTTTAGCTTGTCTCAACAGGCCCAGACAACACCACAGCTCTGTTGTTTAGAATAGGCATGAAGGGGAATTCCCAAGTTGTACCTTTGTCGTATAGGTAATCAATATTTTCATGTTCTTTTATTAAATAAAAGACAAAGTGATGAATTAATACACTAGACACATGGTTTTATTTCAACACTTTATTATGACATCGTAAAGTGATGAATAAAAACAATAAACACATGGTTTTATTCGTAGGCCTAGAGGCTAGCCTAGCTAGGTAACATCATTCGTTCATACATACGTAACGCTCAATATACGTATGTATGAACATCATTCGTTCATACATACGTATATTGAGCGTTACGTACGTATTAGGTCAAAGGTTACCACAAATTTAACCCAACCTCTATTTTACGAATCCCCCAATTTACATACACCCTCCGGTCACGTAACGTACGTAAAATCAAGGTTCTACTGTACTATTAAAAAGATGATTAAACAAATATTGTTTAATTTTGATACTTTTTTAAACTTGATCCATGTTTTGTGTAAGCATATCACAAATAAAAACAGTGGCATATGTAGACAGGTGCACACCCCAAATAAGTTTGTACCACCCTTCCCCACTCTCTCCACCCCCTCCCCTGTTTCCTCCTATACTACCATTGAAAATGTCTAAAGAAAAAAAAATTACTTAAATTATCTTGATAAAAACGTCATCCGTTTTCAAATTTTTGTAGGAATTTTTTGGGGGTTAGGCCCTTATATTTTTTTTTTTATAAACTGAACCACTTAAACTCCACTTTCGCACTCCCAATCAGCACTACCCCCTTTTCAAAACTAGATATATCACTGAAATTCAAGAACAGCACTCACCCACTATATGTCTACTTGCTCTATGTTCTTTTTCATTTGGAAATAGGAAGCTAACAAGAAGTCTCTGGAATTTCAGTAAAAGTTCAAGCGAAGCAGACTTCTCATTCTTCATCATGTTTGGAGCGTCACTCTTACTCAAATCTGAACTCAATTCTCGTAGTTTGGATAAGGTTATTGAAGATGCATTCCTGCAAAAAAAAAAAATTGTACGTCGAATATGAAGATAGCTTGTTCTCATCAAAGTTCAACACATGATAACAATTGCTTAACTTAACAAACTTAAATGACACAAATTTCTTCAAGGCCTACCACTTGAATATTGATGCTAAGGTAAAAAAATAATGTACACTTAAGTAAGTATTTTTTGGACAACATGTGTGTTTATGAAACAAGCACGAGTCCCTGGCTATGTTGATTTAACCTACACTGCAGAAAGGTCCACTGCTCTATTTTATGCTAAATTTAGACTCAAGCCCAGTTTATTTTCTGGCTACCTATGTTATCTATGTTATGTTCATTTTCGCCAATGGGAGGGTGGATAGACACCCAGCAGCACAAAAAAAAAAACAGCTGAACAAAGGGCGGATGAACTCCTCGGAGCCAACGGACAACCATGCCTTAGTTTAAAGAGTAGGTTTTTTTAGTTTCATAAAATAGCTTCAACTTTCTTTTTTCTCAAAATGTCAAACTCAAAGAGCTCAATCAAACAAGCGCATAGAGGCTTTTTCGCATGATGCGCTCTACAAATCCACCTATTATTATTATTATTATTATTATTATTTTTTCTGGCTAGTTAAATCAATCAATTCAGTGCACCCTGCAAAAAACGACCATCCCATGGCAAAAAACAAAGTAACTTTTTTTCTATTTTTGTTAACTTATGTTGTTTTGTCTTGGAAGCATTGTGGAAAATTTAAAGTTACCTTTAGTTTTGGTCAAAATTTATCCAATTGAACACAGCTTTAGTAATATTTGATATTTTTAGTGTTCTAGAAAATCTGATCTCTATACAATGCACAGAATGCATACTTTTCTATACCATAGCTTTTTAAAGAAGTAAATCTAGTATTGCTTAATAATAAAAATATATGGCAAAAAAGTAGCAGTACCTGAGCAGCTGTTGCACTAATTGCAGTAAAGGTATACTTGTACAGATCTCCTCATGTCCCCCCTCCTCGACACCTCTGGTCCTCATCTTCCTTCCCTCGGACGTGTCACCCTCTTTGGCCTCCTCTGCTATCTCTTTTTCCTTCATACTCTCCAGGTCTTTCATTTCTGTACGAATGGCAGCATACAGTGCAGATTCTAGGCCGCCATCAGCCATCAGACTGCTCACCAGTAGATCCATCATGAAACGCCGGCCTGGCGTCATCGTAACCGTTTCTCCTCCTACAAGGAGTTAAAATAATCAATGTCCTTATTGCCAATATTGAAATCCTAAAAATATTATTTCTTGGTTCAAATTTAACTCAACACAAACAGAAAAGTTTAAGATTTTTTTTTTTTTTTAAATGGTACCTCCACTCGGTAGCAGTGCAGACAAAGCCCGAGCTCTTTCTTCTGCAGTGGGTAAAAGCATGGACCACCCGCTCTGCAGGGTAGCCTGAGCGGCGCTCTGTACTGTGACTATCACACCAGCATTACTAGCCAAGTCGACCACTCTTTGCTTGAGGCTTGAGAGCAAAGGTCCTCCTAGACCTAGGCCTAGCTTGTCAGCATCTTCCTGCTGGGATATTGCTGAATGAAGCTGTATTCAAGATAAACAAATAAGAATCAAATTTTAAAGCGATGTCCAGACTATCAAATATCATTTGACAAAACCATGTGACATGCCTAAATATGGTCATGATGACATCACATCATGATCAGCTTTTCGTCTTGACAGAGCATAACACATTAATACATCAAGCCATCTTGTAGCTTCAATTGCACATGTCTGTGTATGACAAGGCATATACAAAAATAATATATCCTATCACCAAATGGATAGAATGAATGTGCATAATATCCATTCTGTTTTTACAAGTATATTTTGTCTTGACCTTTGACATACACAAATAAAACTACAAGTTGCATTTATTTCTTGAATAAATATTGCCTTATTCATATAAAATAAAAAATAAAAAATAATAATAATAAATATAAATGTAATTTCAATTCTTACCTGCAACCTGAGAACATTTAGGCCTGCAACTGCCATGCATTCTTTCTCCTGGGGTGGGGGCCAATCACTGTGACCCTCAAGGCCTTCACATACACGCTGCAGTAGTAAATCCAGCTGTTCGAATGTGCTCCTTGTCACATGGGTGATGAATGGCACCCGTAATGGAATCGACCAGTTTCCACTGGATGTCCAAGCATAACTCTAAAAAAGACAATAATTATGTTGTTGGTACCTAGTTTTATGTGCTGAAATACACAGCAATCAGTAACTATTAGATGCCAAAAGACATTCTCTCAAAAATTAAAAACTTTCAATTTTGTCGTGTTTTGAGAGAACTTGTCACATAGACTATGTGGTACTCTACAAATTAAGCATCTTGAGGCTTAGCAAGTTGCATCATGTATATAAACAGTCACAACTGTGTAAAGCGTGGCATCTGTGACTGTAAAGAATTGCTTATATAATAACGATATTCATGAAATCATTAATTTAACAATAGCATTATAAATTTCCATACCTTTGGGTTTTGTATTATGGATGCAAGTTTATTCTGATTAATTTTGTCTTGTGAAGTTTTATTGTATTCTATATATTTTTACCTTCCCCAGCCTGGGGGTTTGTGTTGAATAAATTTAATTGAATTGAATTTCATAATCTTTGAAGGTATCTAACCAAAAAGAATAAGGAGACATATATGATTGTTATTGTGGAAAGTATTGGCAATTGGATGGACCATTCTATTATAATCAAAGGTGATTCAAATTTAAACACACTAAAAAATTTACCTGTGCATTGCCAGAAGATATTCCTGTGATGCTTCTGCCCTCAAATGCTGACATGAGAACCGGTTCTTTGTGGTACTGGTCTGAGCATTCCCCCAATTGTCCTTGATCATTTCTACCCCAGCCGAATATCTGCCCAGTATCAATTAACACAAGTGTATGTGTTTGACCAATGCTCAGGTCAATGACCTTCTTTCCATATAGTCCTTCAACCATCTTTGGGTAGCGCTGGTGTTCCTCGTTGCTGTGACCTAGCCTGTACCCATCGCCTTTTCCCCTATGGAAAAGTATTCAATCGTTTCCTTTCAAAAATGACCAGGTATTCAAAAACCTTATTCACAATAAAAATACACAAATGAGGGGAAACTGTAAAGATGAAGTGAACTTACAAAGGGAATAAGTAACAGATATTGATAACATTAAATTCTGTGTAATTACTAGAGGAAGCAAGTGATTGAGTAAGCTTACCAAGTGAATAAGTATCCAGATTTAGTAATTGCAGCTGAATAATGATGACCACAATAAACTTTAGTGACCTCTTGACCTCTGAGCTTGTCAATCATTTTGGGCACTTTAAGGGACTCATTGTTACCATGTCCTAGTTTACCAAAGTCACCATCTCCACATGAATACACAGTTCCTAGGACAAAAAAACAACCAATCAAAAATGCTTTAACTCAATGAATATTCATTAGGCAAAGGAAAGTAACTCAATGAATATTTATTAGTAAAGTAACTCAATGCATATCCATTAGTAAAGCAACTCAATGAATATTCAATAGTAAAGAAACTCAATGGATATTCACTAGTAGAGCACTGTATCTTCATGAAAATTCATTAGAAAAGTAACTCGATGAATATTCATTAGTAAAGTAACTCATAAATATTCATTAATTAAGAAAACAACCAATAAAAATTGTTAAACCAATCAATATTCATTAGTACAATAACAAAGGGAAAAACAAATAAATAAACTTCATGCATAATTGAAAGATATCAGCTCTACTGATGTATACATCTCAAGAGCCAACAGCTCGGAAAAATCAACTCTTTAATTGGGTAAAGATAAATTATATGCACAAACCTTTGTCTGTTACAATAAGTGTGTGAGAATCTCCCGTTCCACAAGCAACGTAGGTGACAGTGTGACCTTTCAAACTTGCTACAACAGTTGGAGTCGTCTGCTCATCATCATTACCTAATAAGGAAAAGTGTGATGTCAACTAATTCCTGTCCAGACTATCAAATTTTATTTGACAAAACCATGTGACATGCCTAAATATGGTCATGATGACATCATACCATGACTATATATAGGCACATCATGACTATACATGGGCATACAACAGTACACTGTTTTTTACTCACCATGTCCTAGTCGGCCAAAATTTCCCCTTCCCCATGTGAACAATTCCCCCGAAATGGTAACTGCTGCACTGTAGTTCTTTCCACAGACGACTTGTACTATCTGTCTCCCAGACTGTTTGGTTGGCAAAGATGTAATCAATGTTGGACGTTCATAGGAACTACACACAAAAAAACATTAAGAAATAGTTGTTTGACATTCATTAATAATAATAATAATATTAATAATAGTGTAGTTTTATATAGCGCCATATCCATCTAATTTAAGATGCTCAGGGTGCTTGATATGTGGACTAGGAACTCGATAAATGACTTTCTTCACACCTAAGGGTCCCTTCGTGTCTGTGCTAGCCGGTAACCCGGTACCAGCAACTGTCGTCGTCCACCACAGGGGCTGTCTCTTCCAGTACACCGGGGTATCCCCCTACTCGTCTCGAAGGATGTACTAGGTTCTTTATAGTGCACACAAGCCACTGTATACACTGGGCCCACGGTTTATAGTCCTTATCCGAGAAGACTTATTCTACCACCAGAACCATAGGCGAGCGTGCCGTTCGAACCATTCTAACCGCTCGGCCATTTGACTCATCATTAGACAAAATGAAAGGTCTAATCACACTGTCAATGTAAGAAATACATGCAACTTGCCCATATATGACTGTGATATGACATCACTATACTCATATATTGTACGTTATCCAGTGATCAGGGGTAATAACGCTCGCGCCTTTGATCATTCAATTTGGAATTGGCACCTTATAAATGTTTGAGTATTATTATTATTATTATAATTATTATTATTACTATTATTATTATTATTATATATAGGAAGTCATATGACATCATCATGCACAAATATGGCCAAATCACATAGCTGTCACAGAAAATATAGTGTGAACTGAGAAAAAGTATCAATCAAATATGACCAGTCATTGAATATGTCCCTTATCAGCATAGCTGTCACAGAAAATATAGTGTGAACTGAGATAAAATATCAATCAAATATGACCAGTCATTGAATGTGTCCCTTATCAGCATAGCTGTCACAGAAAGTATAGTGTGAACAGAGATAAACTATCAATCAAATATGACCAGTCATTGAATGTGTCCCTTATCAACATAGCTGTCACAGAAAATATAGTGTGAACTGAGATAAAGTATCAATCAAATATGACCAGTCATTGAATGTGTCCCTTATCAGCATAGCTGTCACAGAAAGTATAGTGTGAACAGAGATAAACTATCGATCAAATATGACCAGCCATTGAATGTGTCCTTTATTAGGGCACAAAACAGGTACATGCTTGTGGGTTAATGGCATCTGGCCATACACGCAATGAGACTTGACATCTCAAAACCACCATCATTCACCAAAAAAAAAAAAAATTCTTTTTACTGTTAATCCAATTCTCCACAATGTAAACTTTATAATGATGGGTACAGTAAAAGTTATGAATAAAGGTATACAAGATACAAGATACAAGTCAACTTTATTGTCAAAATAATAATTCTGAAATATTTGTTGTACATGACATAGAATCATTCATAAACATATAGAGTGTTAAATAAAGATTCCTTAGAAAATAAAAATTTGAGTCCTGTGCAGTTATCTTCTGAAATTTTGATTAAATAGATTACAAGCGATGTACAATGCTGAATTTTTAAAACGGTTTGTGGATATTTTGTTTTGTTTATGTCTAACCCTTCCCGATCTATTTATGATAATGTCTGAAAATAATGAATGGGATGAATCTTGCATAATTGAATTAAATTTCCTAAGTAAAAAATCATTAAGAATATCTTCCAAGGACTTAACGTCGGCTCCAATCACTCTTCCAGCCTTATTTACAATTCTCAATAATTGACATTTACTGTCTGCGGTGATATGAGAGAACCAAATAATAATACAATAAGAAAGAATTGACTGAACAACCGAGGAATAAAACATATGAATAAGATGAGAACTAACATTTAACCGTTTCATTCTATATACAAAATACATTCTTTTATTTGCCTTGGTACAGATTATTATCGATTACAATATTTTCATGATTAGTTTTATTTTTTCTTCTGAAATCGACAATAACTTATGGTCACACATGAAGAGGTGTACTGTTTATCTATTTGTCAATACTGTAAATATTTAACTATTGTGTTTGCTGTTTAGAGATTACACTGTAGAAAAACACTTTTAGTCCCTTTTCATACTTTCAAATATTGTGCCATGTACCTGTGATTTGTCCAATGATTATTTTAATTGATTATGTAAAGTCCCAGATACTTGTGTTTTTCAACAATTTCCACCCTCTCATTATCGATTACAATATTTTCATGATTAGTTTTACTTTTTCTTCTGAAATCGACAATAACTTATGGTCACACATGAAGAGGTATACTGTTTATCTATTTGTCAATACTGTAAATATTTAACTATTGTGTTTGCTGTTTAGAGATTACACTGTAGAAAAACACTTTTAGTCCCTTTTCATACTTTCAAATATTGTGCCATGTACCTGTGATTTGTCCAATGATTATTTATTTTAATTGATTATGTAAAGTCCCAGATACTTGTGTTTTTCAACAATTTCCACCCTCTCATTATCGATTACAATATTTTCATGATTAGTTTTATTTTTTCTTCTGAAATCGACAATAACTTCCTTAGTCTTACGGCTTTTCTGTACTAAAGTATACAATACTACCACATTATTACGCTAATTACTCAGTTCAAAAATTAGTGACAGTACGCTGGTTATAGAATGGACAAGCCTTATATGGTAACTTTGAATAAGGTAAGGTAAGTAAGCATGTATGTATTAGGTAATTCAATGGGAGTACTTACTTGATGTTCCCATGTCCTAGCCTCCCACCATCTCCATTGCCCCAGGAGTACACAAGGCCATCTGAGGATAGTGCCAGGCAGTGACGCCCTTCAGGGTGCCCAGCTATCTGGACTACGGAAACATCTTGCAGACCTTCCACCAACTATACAATGTGAAGACAGAAATATTATTTTTAAAAATAGGGTACCTTTGACAGAAAAGGTAGAGTGGTTGGCGCAACAGTAGTTATGCCTTTGAAGTTGGGAGTTGAAAACATCGCTGTGCAAGTCGCTTGGGCAAGGTACTTTATCTATGTTCGGCACTCCCTACCCAGGAGTATAAATGAGTACCAGCATATGCAGGAAGTGTGGCGAATCCACCACAGCCTTGCACAGTCTGGCACAAGCACTAAGGAAATAGAGACAGGCACTCCGGCATGAGAGGCCAGAGCTTCAGGTTTCGACCTTTGACTACCTTTTGTATATTTAAGCAACAATTGCAAGTGGACATTCTTCTTTTGGACTTACTTTTGTGTCCTCATTTGGCATTTGTTCATATACTTTTCCTGTTCTACTCAACAGCAGTAGGCATCTTTCCGTACAACACATCTGGGTAATACCAAGCTCTGCTATGCTCTCCATTAGCTGCGGCTGATCTGAAGGACCTGACCCCCTTACAAGCCCTAGGCCATAAATCTCTTGGTTGCCAGCTGAACTCAGAGTCTACAATACAAATGAAAAATTTTTTTTTTTTAAATTATTAGAAATATTCTGATATAACGCTTAAGCCAGGCACTCACAGCACCTGAAGGTTGCAGGTTAACATGATGCTACGGAGAATGCAACGACAGGATGTGCGCGCAACGGATCGTTTTTAAACGATGATCCGTTAAGACTGCCACCAACAATCGGCATACAGTAGCGCGGAGTTGGGTTTGTCAACCTACGATCGTACAACCTTTGTACAAGGACAGTGAGTGCGAAGCCTTAAAAATTAAACTGTACAACACGCTACACACTTACCCTTTGGTTTGGAGGAGGTGGCGTATATGCCATGCAGAGACGATCCAGGTGGGACGTGATAATGACGGCAGCCTGCCGGAGGTCCACCGAGGCGTCGTCGTCGTCGGGGATGGTCAAGTACCGAAGGAAACATTCAGTAGGACTTACGATACCACCACTTGTGAACTAAAGAACAGTAAGAAAAAGGTGTAAAGAATACCAAGTAAACTGCCTAATAAATTTGTTAATATTGGTTGAAATGCTAAAAAAAAAAATTCATTAAATTCTATTCACTTATTTAATACTTGGTTCATTACCATTTTAAATGTGTTATCCACTAAAAAGTGTAGAATTTATATGCCAATCCTTCAAGGGTGGACTTTTTTTTTTTTTAAATCTAATAGTAAAGCCGGTGTTTCATTAGACGAATTCATTTTTTCTTCAGCGAAATCGGTAGTTCACACTGTTTCTACTATTTGTGAGGGAAAAAAGATGTTCAGCCAATCAGAGCTCAGGAAGCGAAGACACTTTCGATTTGCACAAATAAATTCATCTAGCTGAAAACAGGCTTGAAGTTGAAGAGAGGAGAATAACCCACAATACGCATCATCATTGTACTAAATTACTGGAGAGATTTGTGACTACTGTAGCAGATGTAGACGTGTGCTTAATAACTTCTTTGCTTCAATGTCAGAGGTCGAAGTTTAAAAGATGCAGGTACTGTACTGAACTTACTACATTTCCTTTGACCTGATCAATGAATTTATTCTTTGGATTTGGTATGCCCTGAAATCGTCTTAGTAGGGGCACCAAGGGTGCAGTGGTACCCCTTGAGCTGCTCCTGTTGTCAGGCTCCTGGCCGCCGCTATCCCAGAGTCTTAGCAGGAGTAGGACTGCATCTAGCAGGTGTGTCATGGTGCCCCGCTGGATAGCTAGCTCCAGTAGAAGTGCTAACGCCATGTGTTGGTCATATACTGGGATGATGTCATTGCCTTTAGCACTGGCACAAGCATTTAGGTCTCTGTACATAATATAAAGAAAAGTAAAAATTCTTTTACATTAATATTTTAATAAATGTTAGATTGTTTTATGGTGGAATGAAAAATTGTCTGCTATTTATTATGTCCTCATAAAAAAAAAATAAAAGGACATACAATGAACAGAATATTTTTTTTTTTACTATACCAGCAACAAAAAAAGATTTATGTAAACAACACACATTCTAAAATAATATGAAGTACAGAGTTACACAATCGAATGTAAATACTTCATTCTTTTTTTAATTCTTGGATGTGGTTAAGGCCATAACAATTGTTTAGGGGACGAATGGAGGACTGAAACAAGTCTATCTGTCCCAGGTTCACTATGTCATCGCACAACTGAAAGCTTTCAATTGACTCACCCAACGACAACACTCTTGAGAAAGTCTGTAGCTTTCTCCACAACCTCTGACCATACGCTTGATATTGATGACTCATCAAATAGCGTGGCCTCTGGCAGTGATTGTAGCGCTTCGAGGGCATCATGTAGCAGCTCAGAGCACAGGTCAGAGTCTTCACCGGATCGCCAGGCCCGCCGCAAAAATGCAAAAGCAAATGATAAAGCAGTTCTTGCACCCACTCTTGCCAGGGACGTGGTTGCTTTCTCAGCTATCTTCTTAGGGCTAAATGTAGAAGAGAAACATATTTATTTGTAAAACCGAGGGTTCGTATAACTGGGGTACGTAAAAACGAGGTTCTACTGTATTATGCTTGTTATTGTTGACAGCAATATGAGCATATAAAAATAAATTGTGACTAGCAAGGGAGTAAGTTAACTTTTAAATAATTTAAATTAATAAATTTTATATTAAATTTATTTTCCTTACAGTTTGATTAGCTTAGTTGCTGCTGAAGACTGAATGGTGTTCACCGCAATTGTCATCTGCTCAGGGTTGTGTCTTGAGAGGGCTATGAAATACCTCTTGAGCACCATCAAACGCTGGTGAAGGTGGATTGAGGAAATGGTGGTGAGGGCTGCTTGACAAGACAACTGGTGCTGTTCATACAGCAGTGATGATAAACAATCCTTTAGTTGACTTGGTTCTATTAAAATTATATAATAATATGCAAATAAGTGGATTATGTAAGTACAACAATTATTGATTGAGTCGTTTTGGTTATATATCAGATAAACAATTTCAACTGTCTTGATGCTTTGAGACTATATTGTTTAATTTAGGCTTAAGAAGATGAATAGCTAGGGCTTCCTTAAATAGCAAATGAGACCAGATAAGTCGGGCACTCACAGTTTTTTTACAAAGAATGTAACGCAACGACACAAGCACACTGATCGTTTTCAATGACGGCATCTTGTCACCTAGCACTCATAGGGAGCGGAGTTGGATTTGCAGTGAGTGTTCGGCTTAAGGTGGACTATCAATTTTTTTACTGTTGGAATTTTTTAAGCTGAGCATTTGGCTGACAGGTACTGTTCCTGCTTCTGAAGACTGCAGTTTAAACAATGGTCTTCAGCACCACGTTTTAATTGCAGTTTACTTGGCTACTCAAATAACCCTAATAGTTAGAGTTAGGAGGGTTAAGAACAATGTTTGTATCCTAATTTCTAATTTCCAATTAAGGACAAATAAAGAATTATTTGTATCATTATTAAAAATACATATACTGTACAAGCAAATCAAATGACGAATTTTATTCATGTTTACTGGGCCAACAGTTATAGCGATCAAATTTTGGACATTGCAATGGAAACAAACAAAAACCACCAACCTGGTTGGCGCCCCCAAGTCCATGATTCAATGAACGATACAGCCGGTTGTGGAAGCTCGCTCTGTTCCTCCTTTCGCTCCTTCTCCTCCTGATCGAGTTTCTGGCAAGGTACACAATTGCAGCCATTATTTGGCCCACATGACCCATTACAACAGCTGCACGTTAATATACGTAAACCACAGTAATACTTTCCGGTTTCTCCTATTTACAATTAAATAATAAAACATTAGTGAACTAAAAGTAACAACAGTCTCTATCATAAAGGTCAATATCATTATTCAAGGGTTTCCTAGTCACTTAAAAAAGATGCCCTTATTGCGATTCTGTAGGTCAGTCAGTCAGTTAACTAGCGGTAGCCAGTGTGTGCACTGAAATGTGGAGATCTTCATGTAACCTTTGTCCTCAGTTTACTTCTATCCTCTGCTCTTGTATTTAAAATTTTGTGTTGAAATACCAGTTTCAGAGTCACACCATCTGTATGATGAGATGCTTAATCCGTTGGTCTAGTGTGCCATTAATCTATGTGTGCACTAAAGATCACAGTCACTCTTTAGAAAAAGGAGGGAAAATGTCTCCGAAATTTTATTGCCCAATTCACCACCAGAAGGGCAATACAAAAAATAAGTCTTCAGAATTATGTGGGTTATCCCTTTTGTATTTCAATCCACAGAAATCCAATCTTAAAAGAATGGATTGGATATATTCGGTGTAAACACCAAGGATAGCCCACAAAATTCTAGAAGACATATTTCCAGTGGGGTCTTTCTAGTGGTGATTGGGCAGTACACTGGGAGACAATCCCCTACTCTTTTCTGAAGAGTGTACTGCATTCTTTAACGTGCACATGGGGCATAATGCACACAGGACCAACGGCTTAAACGTCTCATCCGAAAGATGGTGCGCTATTGTAACTGGTATTTTAGCCCTCCAGCTGAAAAACATGGAGAGACAGTGATGGGAATTGACCTAGAGATCTCCACGGTTTAGCGCACACATAGTGGCTACCACCAAATCAGCTGACTGAGCTAAGCTGCTCTCTCACCTATGATATCAAGAAAAAAATTAATCAATATATTATCTTTAGTATCCATTATAACTGATTGTACATTACTGAACAATATTTACCACAAGATTTGATAGTGTAATACATTGATATGAGCACATACCTTTTTTGGAAGGTGCTCCAGCTGGATTCAGTATAACCTCTGTGTTATCGGTAATAACCTCACCATCTTTGACCAATTCATTCCACAACCGACTCAAACCATCAATGCAGAATACAAGCTTTAAAAAAATAAGACAATAAAATTTAACTTATTAAAGTCATAAATTTAGTGATGATGAAGAAACTACAGTTGTATCCTTGGAGCTAATATTTGTTGTTCAAACTTTGTCAAATGACAGATAGTATATGAACATAATAAAGTCAAAATTATCAAACATGGATTATTTTTTATTTTCTCCAAATATTAACTTTATAACTTTGTCCAGGTTTTGTTGGAACATGTCACATTATTTGAAAAGCGACCCTTTACTTTTAGGGCCCGAAAGGGTTGGTGAACAGCATTCAAATTATATTTTTAACTCAATTTTGCATCATACTGTTCTGATAATGTATGAAGCAAGTTTAAATGTTCTTTTTAGAGCAAGGGAAGGGAAAAAATCAAATGATACGCAATTAAGCATTATATTGTATTGAACAATGTTGTAAACTTGAAATAAATTAAAAATTACTCGTAAAGGTACAGTATGTGGATGTACCTCATGACAGTTCTACATGTTTTAACTCATTACGCATTCATACAGTAGATAATGTCTAGTTCATTAATATTCTGCCAACAGAGGGGGCTACATTACTTTTCTAGACACATAACCTTTACTGTTTTAGTATTACCTGAATATCTGTTTTCAGCCATTTTGAGTCCAATCGTTGTTGTGTATGCAAGATAGCCTTACTCTGTGTTAAGCCTACACTCATTTTGTCTGTCTTTTGTTCATTGTGGATCCATGTTGAAGTTACTATGGTACCTGAAATCATAGGTAACTGCAGTTAGTACCAAATCAGAAGTCTGACGTTATGTTAACAAAGTACAGTATGATTTAATGATGGTGATCTAAGGCCGGGCAAACACTGCGTCCTACAACGGTTGTTCGACCGTCGCATGCCAAATCCAACTCTGCTCCCTGCGAGAACTAGACGATGCGATGCCACCTGCTGATTGTCGGTGGCAGTCTGAACGGATCGTAAACAAGAACGATCCGTCGCGTTATCACATTGCATTCTTCATAAAATCGTGTTGGTCGACGATTGCCGGCCGTATTGAGTGCTTGGCTTAACAGATAATACTACAGTAACGTTTTCAAAACAGAGTTTATAAACTCTTCGGAGTTGGTAGTTTTGTTGGAGGCGTGGTCAGTTTTTTTATTCCAACACAGGCCTTTTTGTAGAATATACATAAGTATTTGCATTGGTCAGCTTTGTTGAGTTCAACTCCCACCATGCTCAGCGTTTGCAGGGCCGTATCCACAATAATTGTGTTACAGTTGGTTGCGAGTAAAGTGTGTAATAAGGCTGGGAGCCTGGAGGCCAGTCGGGCTATTTTACATTGTAATAGACAAATTTTAATGATGTTCTGTAGTCGTAATCTAATAAAAAAATATTTTTTATAAAAAATATGTCTTAAACTACCATCAGGGCTATGGTGAAGCAAAACAAAACAAACACTTTAAATTAAAAATAGGCAGGTTAATTCAAGAGAAAGATTGTACTCACAGCATTTTTGTTTTTGAGTATTTTGCCTTTTGACATTGACAAATTTTTGGATTATGGCTTATACAAAAATTATTATTAGTGGAGAAGAAATGCAACGTATAAAAGGTGTGATGAAATAAAAAACGGTAGTGGATGGATAAATCTTATTAAAGAGAAGAAAATAATGTAAGCTATCTTTAACCATTCACCTCATAGTTCACAGACAAGTTTTTTTATGAATGATATTGTATATTTTTATGGCGACTCTGTTATTGGTGTTTTTGATACACTGTTAAGTCTTGAATAAATAAATTTTAAAAAAAAGTTATTCCTGGGTTATGTTAAAAGGAAATAACTGTAGGTTGAGTATAAACATACAGTGTATTAGCCTATTTTTCCAATTCAAAACCTAATCAATTAATTTGTTGTTTGTTAAAACGTGGTCAGGTTGAAACCCGCCCAACTGACCATACAGGTTACTACGGCGCTGGCATTTGGCATGTCTTAGATTAGATTGCAGATTTTGTGGCCTTCGCTGATAATTATCAGATTTCTGGAAACTTGTATTGTTTTGTACTTCGTTTCTTTGTATTATGTATTTTGTTTGATGATGATAAAATAAAAGCCAGATCTAGATTATATTCTGAGTGACATTCATTACTGTAAAACCAGGAAATTTCGCATTCAATAAACTTTCGCGAATGGTCCAGAATTTTATGCCGCAAATAATATTCAGGTCACATGTTCTATGTTTCAAAAAAGGTCAGTAGAATACTATCTGATCATTGTGAATCTCGAATCAGTTTCACAAAGGATTTTGGTCATTATAAATCACTAAATTACACCAAAAATTAATTTCAACTTTTTTAAAGATGATAATGAACAATAAACAACAAGAATTGTTGGTATTTCAAGGCCTAACCTCGCCGACGACAATGCAATACAGATCTAGGGCCTAGGCCTATGGGGAATCCCCACAAATTGCAACATTTTCGTGAAAAGTTAACAACTTCAACATTTAAAAAATTGTATTTCAAATTAATTTGTGGATTTTATTAAATGTGTATAAACTTAATAGAATGTATTTCAATTATTTAATAAATATTCTGACCTTAAATTCCGATGTTTTACCATGTTTTTCAAAAATTTTAGTACACATTGTATACAATCAATCAAATGGGTTTTTGTCTAAAAACAATATACTATTTAAAAAACAATATGGTTTTCAAACCAATCATTATGGCTGTGCTTGATTTTGTTAATGGTATATAAGTAATGCGATTGACAAAGGTTTGAACACAATTGGTATATTCATGGATTTAACAAAAGCTTTCGATACAATTGACCATTGTATGTTGTTACATAAACTGTACCATTATGGTTTTAGAGGTGTACCTTACAAATGGTTTTCCAATTACCTCTCCAATAGAAAGCAATTTGTTTATTATAACTCTGTAAAGTCTCCTATTATAAATGTTAGTTGTGGTGTCCCACAAGGTTCGATTTTGGGCCCATTACTCTTTTTTCTTTACATAAATGATATTTGTCATACATCAAAATTGAAACTACAATTTCATTTGCCGATGATACTACCATCTTTTACTCACATGAAAATGTGTATGTATTATGTAATATGGTTAATAACGAGTTAAAAGAAGTCTGTAATTGGTTTAAGGCAAACAAATTGTCATTAAATGCAAAAAAAAAAAACACTTTATGTACCTGGGTACCCGTTTACAGACAAAAAATATCAGCACTAATTGTGATATTTATCTCGATGAGTGCAAATTAAATAGAGTCCATGAAGCTACTTTTTTAGGAATAACTATTGAAAATAATTTGACGTGGAAAAAACACATTTAACATGTTTGTAGATCATGTTCTAGAAATATTGGTGTTCTTAACAAAGTCAAAACATTTTTACCAAAGGCTTCACTCTATCAACTGTACTGCTCATTGGTTCTACCGTATTTAAACTATGGTTTGCTTCTATGGGGAAATGCCAGTAAAGTATAAACAAATTGTTTCTATTACAAAAACGTGCCTTAAGAGACTCAATATCACACAGTTCGTATCTGTCCAACTAAACCATTATTTTATATAATGTTTTGATTGTATTTGTATATAAAAATAGCAACTTCACTTGTATAAATACAAATGAAGTTGCTATTTTTATGTACAAATACAAGTACGACATGTTACCAGCTTCACTTAATAATTTACTACTCATCGTGAAAACTATAACTACAATACCAGAAACAAGGGATTTCTTAATTCCAGTTAAAAGGGTTAAATCTGTCTTGTCTTCAGGTCCAAAAGTATGGAATGATCTGCCAATCAATGCCAAATGTGCTCATACGGTACACATTAGCGCCAAAGCCGTAGATAGAGAGTTTGGCCAACTCTGTTTCACGGAATTCGATATACGCGCGTGTGATTGGGTGGATCGCAATCACATGACTTACACCGGCCAAGTTGTCACCAAAACAAAACATTAAAGCTATACGCCCGCATGCACCTGGGCTGTTTGGTAACGACATGACGTCTACACGCCAAGTTGGCTCTCTCTATCTACGGCTCTGATTAGCTCAGTTCAAAAGGATTCTCAAATGTCTATTTTAATATGCATATTATATTACAAATTCATTACCTGCATTGCTTTCGAAATCTCTTTTTAAGCATTTTTTCGCAAATGTTTGATTTCATGCTTCTATGTTTCCGTCCTGGGTGGGTTTGTGTTTGTGTTTGTTCGTGTTCTAAATTTGCTTAACTATTTTATGTAAAGGTGATACAACATTTTAGACCTAACATAGGTTTTAGGTCTTTCTAGATGGTCTAAAAGTTCGTGCAGGTAGTATGTAACTGCATCTTCTACACCTCTTCCACTCCTATAGGCAAATTGCAGTGGGTCAAATGAAATGTCTTTTTCACTTAAGAGCTTATTCAAAATTATTTTTTCAAAACATTTCATAGCCGTGGATACTGATCTGATCAGGGAGGTTCTAATCATCACTGCATGTGATTGCACATGTGCAACCACTGCGCAGTATATACTAAGAAGTTAAAATAGAAACTAATTTTCGTACTTTGACATACCACGATGTTCAGTCATCATCAATCAATGTGTTTGAATCAATATTAGGCCTACAGGAATAAATATTGTTCATTGTAGGATACTTGAGTACCATGCAAAATTTTGGAATATCGTATGAGTGAGTATATTGTAATGTACGTAAACTTGTGTCTTTTTTAACTGTGTCTGGGATGGCCAGCTAAGTCCTGGTCCTAGCAGCTGAGGTAGGCTGCAGGCTTATGGTGCCCAGCCTAGGCCTAGCTATTGTAGCCTAGACAGTGGCTGTAGGCCTAGAACTCACAATAGGATATCAGCTATTGTATGGTATTCCTCTCATGAATAAAACTTAGGCTTTTTGCGATTCGCAAAAGTTTAATGTCGCGAAAACGGCTGAAATTATCAATTTGTGAAAGTTTCTGGTTTTACAGTATTTCCAATTATAGTCAAAGAACTTAATAACAGAAGAATGAGCTGCTCCACGTATTTGCATTAAAATTAATGGACCATATACTCTCCCGAGAGCGGGGTAAAATCTGACAATTTGACCGAGTGGAGAAACTAAAGGAGACAAACGAACCACAGCAGCACCTTTATTATTGATGTATAGCGCAACCGTGCAGACGGGGTAAAATTGCTTTCTGTGTACCCACAATGCATTTCGAATGGATGTTCCACTACATTGAGAAGCTGCTCTATTATCTGCTATTTATTGTCTTTGTTACAGTAGGCACTTATTGCATCTACCTATGGCTATTACACTATCCTATGTACGAATACTGATTCTGGCAAAAGTTATTGAGGTACTAAAAGATATTAACCGTCCTAATTAATGGTTAATTAATTTACTAAGGAACCATAATTATTGGATGTTAAGTGGATTATAGAAAAGTCAAATTGTCAAAAGAATGTTTAGGCCTACTAGGCCTAGCCAGGCCCAGGCCAAGGTAGCTAGATACAAAACCAATAGAGGGCGCTATAGATCAGCAATACAATAATCGGGATAGAAAATAGTGAAAATAGAATATCCAATGTATTAATTGGTTATTTCGCGGAAGTATACAACAATTTGACCGAATTACTTCCAGATAACACTCCAGAAATGATTTCTGGACCAAGTTATTGGCTTTTCAAGCGTGCGAACCGATTTAGTAGAAGTTTTTTTAGTACAACCAATGTTTCGTCGATTTTCAATAATAAAAGGACACCTCGTTAGTTTTTTGGTTAACATGTTTGCTTTCTTCAGTTTTTAAACTATAAAGATAAGTAAGTTTTAAATATTTATTTGTGAGCATATAAATTGAAATAGATGCCATAAAATTCTATTGTCTTATCACATACCGCAGCTAGGCTCGGCTCGTACGAATAGAGGGCGCCTTCATAAATTTGCGGCGGCTACACGCAGAGTAAACAATGTTATCCCCGCTGGCCACCGTGTTGTCTGAGCCCTGCAATTATGCCTAGAGTTATGCGATTCAATATGATTTCTTATACGTAGAATCTATAAGTTGATAAAAATTATTAAATCTAATATAAATATATATATACTAAAATACTAAATTATAATCGTTAGTAATTGTCAAGTATTATTTTAACATGGCCTAAAATGCTACATAGTTACACTGTAAGGGACACACTTCTTGTATAATAAAAACAATAGGAATTAACTCCAGCAAAAAACATATTTAAAATAGCAATATCTCAGATTTACAAAATTTTGTTTTAAAATGCTTCATTCAGTTATGTCTTTCTATTAAAAATAAATAAAAAAATATTTGGGACATTTCAATTTTTTTTTGTTTCTAGCTAGCCTACCTAGCCTAGCTAGCTAGTAGGTGATGAATATTGTAAGCGTTAAATAACTTGGTAAACAATTTTACTGCCGGATGCGAAACCGTTATTGGTTTACCACGGCGGGTAAACCAAGCTTTCACCACAAAAAGTACAGTAGTGCAGACGCCTAGGCCCTAGTCCGACCTAGCACGCAACGCCTGCCGTACTCTCTAGCTTAGTAGGCTAGGTTAGCTAAGCCCACCAGGCTAGGGGCTAGGCCCTAACTGAATTCATCACAGAGTTTCGCCCTTTACTATTATTAGCAAATGAGAATAAGTCCCTCAGCTGATACATTGTTATGTTATTTAAGAAATAAAAACAATACCTTTTTAAATAAGCCCACTTTTACTTTTGATATTTGTTTCTTTCCATAAAATGACGAAACCAGACTTCCATTCGCAGCTAACACCACTCTAAAAAAAATCCGAAGAAATTGTGGACGTTGAGGGGGTGATATATAATGACAGATTATTGTTGTGTTGATGATGGTTGATGATAATCACCGATCCTATATAAAAGGACCACAATTTTACGAACTCTCATGTTACGTACCCTCTATGAAAAATGTTATGTGTGGTTCTTATTTCCCTCTGTTTAATCGTATGATTTAAGACGGTAGATTTTTTCCACTCATAAAAGTGTGGCGCAATTCACAAACTCACTGCCCTAATCTTTTGTAATGTTATAATTAAGTTTTACTGGCAAAAGAAAAAGAAAAGCTCTTGATAGATTTTAATGGAGATAGAGTACTTAGATTAGAGTGACATGGTTCGAAAACATTTAACATAAGCTAATCAGTAGATAAGATAAATCATTATTATTTATATGAATGTTAGTGTATAATATAAGCTGGCCTGTGATTATTATGAGGTAGGCCCACGTTGAAACTTTTTATGATTACTGTATTCTAAAAACGTAGTGTGGAAATAATTCAAATAAAATCAAATCAAATAACTTATTTTCATACAATTGAAATAATATGCGGTATAAAATACAGTTAAACCATAGAGAAAATAGAACACTATTTTCTCTATGTTTAAACAAATAGATTGATGGAAGAGGCTACAATAAGTTCTACAAGAAAAACTCACAGGGGTTTCGGATGTAGCCACCTGTGACCTTTTACAAAGAAGTTGAAAAAAATAACCGGAACCCTTTAGAACTTATATTTTATCTAAACTATAGGCGCAAAGAAATTATATACCAATAAAAGTAAAAATAATTCCAATCCATGCTCTAATACGGTTTTATAAAATGACCAGACAAATTATATTTGTGACACAAATAATGATTCATGGAAGAGAGAAAAGTTCTCCAGAGCTGTCCAGAGACATGCTACTTAGGTGCATTTAAATAAATGTTAATTGTAATCCGTTAAAACAAATTAAATACGACTTAAAAGAGGCTAGAATACCAGAGCTTCCTAAGGATTCGTCCCCTGAGACTTTCACAGAGGGGAATGACTCGCAGGGGCGGATTTAGTGGGGGGGGGCGGCCCGGTCCCGGCCCTCCCCCCTTTTTTTTGGGAGGTAAAAAAGGGGGAAAAAAGGAAAAAAAGAAAGAAAAAGAAACAAATGATAGCCCACAACGCCTCAAATGTTATTTTCGGGCGTCTAGGACACAAAAATTCCGCGGGGCATGCCCCGGACCCCCTAGGTCATTGTTGTTCTACAGTTCTACATTACGATACGATAATAACATCCTAATGTCCTTATCTGACGATCGACTGTTATTTTTTATAAGCCTATCGATTTGTTTATATCATGCATACACACAAAAATATGAGTTGCTGCATAAACAAATTGTATATGTAAAATTAAAAAATATACAGTATAGTATACAATAATGGAATGTAGAGGGAACACAGTTATAACTGGACTAACTGTAATACTTAGGCATCATTCATCATCTAATTATATTCACGCACTACTAAAGTGACACCAGTTCCGTACGAAGAACTGTAATCTATTTTAATATTCCAATAATACAATGTCGCCCTCTTGAGTTCCAGCGTTGTCATGTTGCTTGCTATTTGTGTTTTGATGTTCAATAAAAGTTCAGTTGAATTTGACGTTGAGTTTAAATGCTTATTTAAATAGATTTGCTTCAAAATTTATTGAATTTTGAAGAACTTAAAAGTAATTAAAAGACACCTCAGGAGTCGGGAAAACTCAATTCCCGCCTTCTAAGAATCAAAATTTTCCCGGGGGAGAACCCCCCCACCCCCTTTCTTTTGGGGATTTATGGATTAATGGAAAAAAATCGTATGCAAATACTCAATTTTTTAATGTATGTATACACACATAAGGCCTATCTACTGTAATAACAGGGATAAATTTACCTGACTGTTTTCAAGAGGGGAAAATCTTGAATTTTGAAGAATTTAAAAGTAATTAAAAGACACCTCAGAAGTCGGGAAAGCTCATTTCCCGCCTTTTACATAACAACATTTTTGACCCCCCACCCCCTTTTCTTTGAAGCTTATCGATTCATTATAAAAAGAATACGTATGCAACTACTATTTTTTTATTTTTATCTAGGCCTATGTACGGTATACCATAGAGAAAATAGAACAGTTCTATTTTCTCTATGGTATACACACATAAGGCCTATTTCCTGTAATAACAATGGGAAAAAATTACCTGACCGTTTTCAAGAGGGGAAACCTTGAATTTTGAAGAACTTAAAAGTAATTAAGACACCTCAGAAGCCTGAAAAACTCATTTCCAGCCATCTAGAATTCAACATTTTTCCGGGGGAGAACCCCGGAACCCCCGCTCCTTTTCTTTGGAGCTTATCGATTCATAACAAAGAATACGTATGCAACAACTAATTTTTTTTTATGTATGTATATACACATAACAGGCCTATTTAGTGTAATACAAATTAGGAAGTTTACCTGACCGTTTTCAAGAGGTGAAAACTTTGAATTTTGAAGAACAAAGTCATTAGAAACCTAGCTCAAAGGTCAAAAAAGGTCATTTCCCGTCATCTAACAATCAAAATTTTCCCGGGAGAGGACCCCCGGATCCCCTTTCCTTTTTGGGAAAAATTGTTGACCCCCCCCCCCACCTATCCTCTAGGTTTTCATATTCATATTCCCATATTCCCATTCATCTTATAAGGATGGGCCTCCCCACTTTGGAAAAAACGTTCCGCCGGCCCTGGCAACTACTCAATTTTGTGCCTGCATATATACTGGTACACATATAATAGGCCTATCTACTATAATAAGAATGAGAAATATTTACCTGACCGTTTTAAGAGGGGAAACCATGAATTTTGAAGATAAAAGTCAGAAATGTCATTTTCCGCAATCTAGAATTCAGAATTTTCCCGGGAAGAACCCGGACGCCCCTTCCTCTATACAGGCCTACACACACGTTTATTTACTAAAAGAATGAGAAAGTTTAACTACCTGACCATTTTCAAGAGGTAGAAAAACTTTCTTAACTTAAAAGTCATTAAAAATTACCTTAATAAAAGACACCTCAATAGTCGGGAAAGATTATTTCCGCCCAATTTAAAATTAACCAGGATTTTCAAACAGTGAGGGACAATATAAGTGTGGATCCATTTAGGGGTCATCCATAATTTTCAACATTTTCAAAAGAGTACAAAACATACTTTTTTCTGTGACCCCCCTCCCTCCTCATGAAAGAGTACGCAAAAAAATGTTGATCTGTATCTTATTGGGATCAGCATTTTATCTTTTTCATGAAAGAGTACTTATGTCTACACTTTACACCCCACCCCCCCCCCCCAAAGTGTATGTTTTGTACTCTTTTGAAAATGTTGATAATTATGGATGACCCCTTACTTTATGCGTAAATTCAAATAATGTGGATAATAACCGTTTTTAAGGAGGGGGAACCTTCGATTTTGAAGAACTTATAAGAAGTCATTAAAAGATACCTCAGAATATCTAAAAACGGGGAAAAAGAGGCGTAATAGTCCCTTTTCCCACAGTTTTTAAATAGGCCCCATAACAATCTGTCGCATCTCATTCACCAAATCCCCTTTTTCGTCAAAAAACTTTTCTGTCGAATGAGTCTGTTCTAGGCCTACAACATATTAAAATATTTTTTCCTCCTAAGTCTGACTTTAAAATACGAAAAATCCGCATTTTTCTTGAGAATGCTTGTTTCTTCAGATGGATGGGCGGCAAAAAGCATACTACCACTACTCGATAATCTCACGAATGATCGCTCCTGTGCACCCGGCCAGTTTCGTAATCTTCGGTATGTCCTCGCAGGGGTGGCGCCAGGATTTGCCTGACAAGGGGGTGGGGGGTGAACCGATTCCTCCTCCGACCCCCCCCCCCTCCGACGAGGGGTCAGCTTTCCCCGACGAAAGCAAAGTGGGCGTGGTCGAGCTTCAATTAAAAGAAGAAAGTGGTCGAGGGGCGAAGCCCCCGAAAATTACGTATTTTATCAATTTTAGAGTCTACTAATAGGCCTATGTAGAAAATGCATAATTTTTTTTCTCCCCGACAAATTGTGCTTTTTCTCCCCGACGAGGGTGGGGGGGGCAGCTCTCCCCGACGGGGTCTGTCCCCCCAATGGCGCCACCCCTGTGTCCTTGCCTATAACTCAACTCCCCGCCTATAATCTTTTTCATTCAATACGCCCATCAAATTTCAAGTTCCCAGAAGAAAACCTCAATTTTCATATATTTCTACTACAAGTAGGCCTACTCCGGGCCCCTTAATCCTTTCTTTTCATAAACGCCCTCAAAAAGTGCAAAAAATATTTTGTTGGCACTAAAACTAATCCTATTTTAAGTACAGTAGGTGAATATTTAGCGAAAGAGCTACAAATTATACCTATATATTTTTTTTTTATGGGCATTATATTTATGCGTGAGAACGGCTGTCCGACGGGTGGGAATATGTCCCCGCTGGCGCCACCACTGCACTGGAAACTAACAAGGAACCAAAGATACTATAAATACTTCTAGTATCTTTGCAAGGAACCAAGGAACCAAGGTTGCCATTTGGCCTTTTTGACGGCTAGATTCCTCAAATCTGGCCGTAAAAAACTTGACTAGGCCGTAGCATTTGAAAAGTCACGGCCAAACTATATTTGGCCGAATTTGGCGGAATTTTTGAAAAGTTTACATTTTTTTTCAATATAGGCCTAATATAACGTAGACTTGTTTTGGATATTTTGTTTTTGTTAGCTTCAATTCTATATTTGATACTAATCTTGTACCTTTGTTTGTACTTGCACTAAACACTTAATCATGTTCCCCGATTCAGCCGATTTGGCGTAAGAGAGTTTATTTAAAAGATAACAG